CCCAAGGAATTTTCGAAGACCTTTGACATCGACCGGCACAGGCCAGTCGGTGATCGCCTTGATCTTTTCGGGATCAGGACGTACACCGTTCTTACCAACGATGCACCCAAGAAGTGGTATTTCGCTTGCGGCAAATATACACTTCTTGAGGTTTGCATACAATTGATGCTTTCGCATGATTGTAAGAACCTGTCGGACGTGGTACCTGTGAACCTCAACGTCCGACTTTCCATCCATAGGTCGACTATGGATGAATACGTCATCGAAATAACTCGACGCGAATTCTCGTACTGGTCTCAACAGATTCGATACACATCTGTTTACGTGGCAGGGGCATTACTAAGCCCTTGTGGCATTACTAGCCATTCCCAGAGCATGCCGCTAGGCGTGCTAACTGCGGTATAGGGTATATCCCGTTCCCGCATAAGGATTTGATAGAAGCCATCCATCAAATCCATGGACGAAAAGATGGTACTCTTTGACATACCATCAATGATTACGTCCTTCCTCGGTATCGGCGTCTGAGCCAGTACCGTTGCAGCATTCAACTTGTTAAATGCATGCACTATCCGCCACCCTCCTGTTGCTTTTCGCACACAGAAGGTCGAAGAGCTATGTGGGGAAGTTGATTCCCTCACATGGCCCGCAGCTAAACGATCGGCAAAGAACTTGTCGATCGCAAGTACTTGTTCACGAGGCAGTGGCCACTGCTTCATGACACAGTACTTCGAGCCTGGTTTAAGCTCGACCTCGTGTCGAGTACCTATATCCTTCGGTAATTCGCACGAAACAGTTTCAGGAATACATCCTTGAATTCAACCAAATCTTCATAGAGAGGATTTGTCTTGAGCGATTCCCATGATTATGAGTCCTATCTCTCAACTCGTGTCTTTTCATCTAGGACACTCTCGTCCATAGATGAACTACTGAGGACTCTCTCGTTCTCAGTGAACACTGTTGCTGACCTTATGTCGGCTACACACTCGTCGTCAGCGACGAGTACGTAGATCTGCTTGACTTTGCCACTACGCAGATCACGCAAGAACCTTTTATGTTCGAGCGTTGGCAACTGAGTGATCTCCGAAGTCAACTTCGGAGGCGCAATCAGATCAAGTGTATAAGCGCCTACACTTGATCCGTTATTGACTATGACATTCAATGTCTCTGTCATTTCCTGGGGACTTATTCCCTCAGGCTTCGAAGGACTTATTCCTTCGGCTTCCCGGGGACTTATTCCCGCGGGTTTCGGGGAACTTATTTCCACCGTATTTTTAATCTTGGGACTTATTCCCTTTACTTCCTCTAGCTGTGGTTGCGCAACCACAGCGAGATCCTCTACGATAGACTCTCCAGTCGATCCAGGATTATCGTTTCGCTTAACCTAAGCGATCGATTGTTTCTCTTCTAGATGTTCCCCGCTAGGGATACATCTTTGTCCCGGTCCACTCGACTTATTCGAGTGGTGGACCTTCGGCGCAGCCTGTGTTTCCCCACAGCCGCCGGAACTTTGCTCCGAAGTGTAACCGTTTGTTACACTAAGGTTTTGTGCAGTCGTACTAACGACCATACCACAAGTGAGGCCATCGCACTCACTCGTAGTACATCCACACGCTTGTGGACGCTCCAAAATGTTCGTCAGATGGCCATCTGATGAACAAGCGGCAGGCATCGTTACTGTTCGATGTTGCCAGTTTACCCGTGGTTCGTACCTTCTGAGCCACGGTATTCCAAGGATGACATCAAATTTGTCATCCAAATCCAATACGATAAAGTCATCGTCATATTGGGTATCTTCTAGCGTATAGTGGATCTTCACTATACGCTTCATGACGGTTACGGATGCGCCTGTCGCAAGACGTACCGTCATCCTCGTAGGAGGTGTGTCACATTCACTGAATTTAAAGTGACCATCTTCTAGCGATTGGCGTCGCACAAATGTTGGACGCCCCACAATCGACTAGAGCTCGAAGGGACAACTTATTCGTCACTTCGAGTTTCAAGGTAATGAGTGAGACCTCATTACCTAGAGCAGCAACGCACAACGTTTGTGTGTTGGGAGAAACCTTCATCAAGAGGCCTACAAATTCTCTTGACGTTGCTAGACCAGTAGGGTGCTCCGCACCTACTGATCCTGTCTGTTTTTTGACGGTCCATCCCGTTGTTGCGTCTTTGCACCAACTACGGACCCTCGTCCCTGCCCCTTTCTCATGGGTGGACGGTCACTACGCCCAGTGTCGCGAGACACTGGACGAGGGGCACTACACTCGTAAGCGTAGTGTCCTGTCTTTTGACATCTGTTGCATCTCTGCAACTTCTTGTAGCCTGTAGAGCGAGCCTTCTCGCTCTCTACATAACAGAGTTCCATCGGCTCTGGACCTCCGTTGTCATATCGTCTCGGTTGACGATATGATGTCGAGCTGGCGCGAGCCTGTCTCAGACTGAAGTCTTCCTGCTCCGCAATGGAAATGGCTTGTTCTAGTGAATCTAGCTCAAGCCGGAACAGGTGAGTCTTGACGGGACCATCCGCAAGACCCTGCATGAACACCGAAACCAACGTGTGTTCATCCACCGGATTGGAACTTATACAACTCGTGAGATGTCGTATATGTTGAGCGTAAGTGTGCACATCACGCTTACCTTGTTTGAGCTTCAAGAGTTCGGTTTGAGCCCTGAACTCAGCTCTAGACGGTTCAAACGTTTGTCTGAGCCGCGACTTGAAGACTTCCAACGACCCAAACGCATATGGGTCGTGCAACTTGAGCCCCAGTGCCCAAGTCTTGGCACGTCCTGCCAGATTTGACTGGGCAAATGCAACTTGCATATCCCCGTCGTCGATGCGACGCGCCCTTATGGCGTCATCCAATTCGACGAACCATCTCAAGAGGGAGTCTTCTTCGACCCCCCTATACTTGGAGATGTCAATCTTCAAAGTCTCGGGTCGACGCGAGTGCATCACCCCGCCACCAGCAGCCTGCTGCTGTCTCAACAGTTCAAACTGTTGAGCACCCTGTTCTCTCAACAACTCTGCTTGTTGAGCACCTTGTTGGTGAAGCAAGGCTACTTTCTCGCGTTCTGCGTCAAGTTCATTTTGAATGAACTTGGCGATAGTAGCATGTTGGGCATCTCTATTGAGAGCCTCTAGCATGACGCTAACAGCATGGATGCCCATGGTCGAACCCATTCGTTCAACCGCATCCCATTCGACATCGCTCAAATGGGAGTAGCCGTCACGCGTAGCGTGAAAGCTTTGGTCATCTTCATCATCCAACATATTCATGTTGGATGTGAACGCGGTCCTTGGACGGACTACGAAGTGCTACCAGGTGTAACGGGGCACCCTGAAGCTTGTACTGGTGACAGTACAAGCTACTTATTCTGATGACAGAATAAGGCGGTGCCTCGTAACTTCACGTACACTCGTACGTGCAGAGGAAGACGGTAAGAAGAAGCGAGTACTTGGTTAAAGTAAAAAGTAGAACTGTATTTATAATAGTTAATGTCTGCAATAAATCACTATTTATCTTCATCTAACTATGTCTAAATACAAATGTGTAAATCAGTTATCTGCTCACCACTCATTGCGTGCGTCTGTCGTGGCGCGTCTTCGTTGGTTGATATGATGGCCTATATCAACCAATTAGGAACTACTCGTAAGTGCTACAGAATATTTGTCCTTATGACAATATTCTGAGAATATCACTCTTATAGTTATATTCTATTAACAATTTCTTATAAATTGTTATGTAACGATTCACCCCGTTACAACTTTCGTGCCAGTAAGTGTAAAAATGTTACGAAGTAGTCCTCTGTCCACCCTTGATAATTTCCGAGCCAACAGTGTGCGGGCATTGGTGCGTGTGTGCGACCAACAACACTCTCGATGAGGTCGTGATAGTGACTTAGTCATAGAGCTGCAAGTATTCTGCATGTCTACCTGTAAGTGGGGACATGCTAAATTGTACTTCGTACGACGATTACGATACACCAAGTGGTCTTCACAGACAGACACGCATCCAACGCACTGACAAACAGAAAGTAAGTTTAAAAAGTGCGGCATTCAGTGTGCGCACAGTCACTAATAGCTCTACCCTTCAGGCTCGCAATAAGCACACATAAAAGACAACCATTGATTTTGCTAGTGACAAGGCGCCTCTTAGCGGCAGCTAAGTGTGGCCAATGCGGCAGGTATTCGGCAGCTTAGAGTAGACAGTAGCATGTCTTGCGTCACACAAGTCAACGTGCGGGTGAAGTCGATCGGCTACATTGCAAAGAAACTGATCGCGAGACCAAACCATACTAAATATGTGCCTGACGAGACCGAGCATTTGACTGAGGCGTTGCTAGCGCCGAGAATGGCGGAACCGAGGAATTTGTCCGACCTGAGGTTAGTGAAGGGTCGTTTGAAGTGAACGGATGCAGCGGGTCGGTCGACAACGTTGAAGTCAGAGTTGGTTCATAGACACTCCCACAACGTTGAACATCTTAGCTGAGTCAATCGACATTGAACAGACTATACCAGGTATAAGGCTGACAGAACTTGAGCGTATAACAGGCGCTACTTCGTCTTGTAAGATGAATGAGGCGTCTGGAAAGTGATAACAGGGGTGAGAAATGACGATCGGAAGATGTCGTGACGCTGGGGCATTTTTTTGAAAAATGAGATGCCGGATATCCGCTTTGCATGTCGGACTTGACAACCTTGTTTTACAGCCCCTCGACTATATTCCCAGCTCGCGTTCAGTCACGTTGAAATTCAACGTACACGATAGAGCTTCGTAGTAAATGTTGGTCTTCCTTCCGTACGCATCTAGTCAATACCCATCACAAAATCTGCATGCTTGCGATCAGCGAGTAATTTCTCTGTCAGCGACTTCCTGTACAAGATCAATAACTAGTACGAGTCCTGGCACGAGCTCAACACTATTGTGAAACGAAACCACCTTCTATGGCGTTTGTGCGATACTTACGCGGTACAGTGATCTGCTTATCCATGCACTCGCTTACTTGGCTCCAACAGCCGCTTTGTAAGGAAGCGCAAGGTATTTAATAAAGTTACGCGTCTCACAATGGCGAACGGTCTCGCTCATGACATCAGCATCCAGTCCAAGACGCCAGGCAATGTCATATCGAGACGGATTGAGGTGAAGAGTTTCTAGGTCGTACACGTGCTGGTCAGCGCTCTTCATGTCAGCAAAGAACCCCAAGTTTACGAGCTTTGCTCGGCGGCAGTAGGTCAGCCGTGCAAGCTCGTACAAATCGTACTCGGGGTGATACTGCACGGCCCAGAAGTCGCCCTTCTTGTGACGTACTGCAACAGCTTGCACTGCGGTAAACTCGTTCCCACCAAGGGCAAGTCCCCCAGGTGGCAGGTGAGTTACCTCGTCATAATGGCTCGTAAAAGCGTCAAAGACCGTCGGCTTTCCCTCAAACATCGGGTGTGCACGGCCAGCCGGAGACAGGTGAATCTTGCGTGCGATGCCCATCTCACGGCCACGAGGATTCGCTGCGCAAACACCTCCTGCAGCTACTACTGCAATTTGAGCCGCCCAGCAGCTACCGTACTGAGGAATACCTGGCACAAGACAGTATCACCAAAACTATGTCAACCAGCTTAACACCACAAATTGTTACAATGGGCTGTATTCACCTTTGTCAAACACCTTCTCAGCAAGATCGATCTGCTTGGCAACACGCGGGTCATTACCGTCATGGATCGTCAGTGAGCATCCCGTCCACGCCACTGCATGGTACTGTCCAAGTAGGTCACTTCGGTGTTCACGGAACAAGCTCCAGGGACTACAACCTCCTTATGTAAAAACACTATCTAGCTCACCTTCGACAGCTCAGGAGTGTGAAAGTCAGTGTCAGATGGGTACACGACGTCGGAAGCGATTGTCACGCCTGGAGGTGCCGACTTGTTGAGCAATTGGGTGTAAAGAGCACCAGCTGTGCTCGCGCCGCCAGCTTCTAGCTCGGCGCGGCCTTCGGGTGCGTAACCGTCGATGACTAAGACCTTCAAAGGAGACGATGACGAAGCGGCCGAGCTCATTGCGAGCGAAGTGGCAGCATGCGACCGGTGGTACAGACGTTTGGCGAAACGGGCCAGCATAATGGACGTGAGCTTGTCTTTATCGTTTTGGTGAATGGCACCTGACCTTGAAGTGGTCTTTTCACGTTGTGACAAGAAGATGCACATTGTGTGACGAAGAAGATACGGCGACTCGGGTGGCAGATGTTATCTTAGTTATCGACTCTCTGTCGCGTTGTGTAAAGAACATAAAAGAAACAAACATCTGGACGGAGGACGGCGTCAGGGTGAAGTCGTTTCTTGCAGTTTCTTGTCTCAGCGACTGCGAAAGATCCAGCCGTCCTTTTCTTGTCCCTTCTTGGATTAAAAAACAAATCGGATTGTTTCCGTGATCGCGAACAGACCTTGTGTTGTAAACTGAAGTGCGCCACACGGATCTTCTCCACGAAGCGTCGTCGGATCAAGAACCGAAAGGCTGCAACCGTCTCACGACCCCAAGCGCCTTTTGTCCCAAAGATACACAAACGGCCGCGCGTTCCCTCGCTTATTCATGAACGTCATCGGCAACCGACTCGCCGGTCGAGTGGCCGTGATCACTGGAGCTGCCGGTGGCATTGGCCGCAAGTCGGCCATTCTGTTCGCCAAGCAAGGCGCCAAGGGCGTCGTATGTGCAGATGTGAACGCAGAAGCAGCTGCCGAGACTGCTGATCTGGTCCACGAGGAGCTCAAGAAACTGGGCAAGAGCGGGAAAGTAGCCATTGCGGTGAAGACCGATGTGTCCAGTGCAAGGGACGTCGAGACGATGGTGAACGTGGCCGAGAAGGAGTTTGGGGCGCTCCACGTGCTCTTTAACAATGCCGGGATCATGCACAGCGCCGATGACGACGCGGTTTCCACCCAAGAGGACGTGTGGGACCTCACGATGAACGTGAATGTCAAGGGAGTGTTTCTTGGCTGCAAGTACGGCATCCCGGCCATACGTCGTGCAGGGGGCGGGTCCATTATCAACACGGCCTCGTTCGTAGGGCTCCTTGGCGCTGCGACGCCCCAGCTTGCCTACACATCGAGCAAAGGCGCGGTGATTGCCATGTCTCGTGAGCTGGCGACACTTCACGCTCGCGAGAACATTCGTGTGAATGCGCTCTGTCCCGGTCCATTGAATACAGAGCTGCTGCAGAAGTTTTTGGACACTGAAGAAAAGAAGCAGCGCCGGCTCGTGCACGTGCCTATGGGTCGATTCGGAGAGGCTGCAGAGATGGCCAAGGCGGCATTGTTCCTTGCTAGTGATGACGCATCGTACGTTACTGGAACGTCGTTCGTCGTTGATGGTGGCATATCGTCGGCCTATGTGACGAGCGAGACACACGTCAACCCGTTTGGGGGTCCTGGAGAGGTGTAAGTCAGTGGCAAAAAACGTTGGGTCTCGTGTCGAAGAAGATCGTGCAGGGACATTCATCTGCATAAGTGATGTAACCTGCCAACTCAACAGTCTCAACGGCTTGATCTTGAGGTAAACACTTGCTGCAAGTCAATGTATTCGCATCGCCGGTGAAAGAGTGAGGTCTGAGTGTGAGAGCGATTCGCACTCTTTTAGCACAATTCAATCAAATCCGCTTGCGTGACCAATCCGACTAGTCACGATCCGTCCCTATCCAGTACATCTCACGTGTACCGATATTTTCTTCGGTACGAACGCGTTCGTATCCGCTAGACACAAAAATTCCACTAGTAGTCAAAGAAAAGCACCTGCGACGTTAGTGATCAAGCACGCAACAGAATTGATTGTAGAAACGTACCGATTTCAGCTTTGTGACGCCATGGAATCCGTACTTTGACAGGCTGATGCCCTTTCCTGAGTCACGATGGCCCGTCCAAGGGAGGTAGGGGTCCAACACGTCACATCGGTTCATGTACACGGTGCCAGCGCTTATTTGCGAGCCCAAAGCCATGGCTTGGTCACGATCTGATGAAAAGACCGATGCCGTCAGTCCGTACTTGCTGTTGTTGATCTTCTCGATAGCTTCGGCATCCGATGACACGCGCTCGACACCAACGATCGGCCCGAAGGATTCCTCCGTCATAATGGCCATGGAACCATCGCAATTTGCAAGCAAAGTCGGAGAGTAGAAGCGGCCCTTTCCGGAAGCGTCCGCCACAATTCCGCTGCCCGATAGTTGGAGAGCCCCCTTTGCCACAGCATCTTTTACCTGACCATCTAGCATTTTCGGTGCTGCAGAAAGAGCCATCGGACCCATTGATGTCTTCGGGTCTGTCGGGTCACCTAGATGGTATGCCTCGAACAAACTCTGTGCCTTCTCCAGAAACTGGTCGTACTTGGACTCGTGAACGTAGATCCTCTCGACAGCGCAGCACGATTGACCAGCGTTATAGCAAGCACCGTCCACCAGACCTTCAGCTGCAGCTTCAGCATCAGCGTTGGCTGTAACGTATCCGGCATCCTAAAGCCGCGAAAAACACAGCATTTAGAAAAAGCGTCATGGGAAATCAATACTGCGCTGCACTTACATTTCCTCCAAGCTCCAACGTTATGTCAATTGAGCGCTGCGAGATTTTATCCTGGACTTGACGACCTCTTCACATATGACGGGAAAAAGAACACAAAATCAGATGTAGACAGGAGGTTGCAGCATTCATTTCATCGAGGCATACGTACCCTTGGACAGATCCCGTAAACGATACAAAAGCGGTCTCCGGGCGCCGGATGATTTCTGCAGCCGTGACGTGCTCAACAAGTGAAGACTGCAGTACGTTTTGTGCAAACCCAGCTTGTTCGAACGTCTTTTGGTAGTGCTCTCCGCATAGCGGAGTGCGAGGCGAGTGCTTCAACAGCACCGAGTTCCCGGCGAGTACAGCAGGAATGATTGAATTGACCGCCGTCATGAGAGGGTAGTTCCACGGAGCCTGAATCGATACCGAATCGGTTGCTAACGTCAGGAACCATCACTGGCAGCGCAACTATTCGCTCAAACGAGAACGTACGATGACGTAAACGACGCCAACAGGATCGTGTGTGATCTGGCGGAAGAGTCCATTCTCTTCTGGAAACGAATCCGTGCGCAACGCTTCATCCGACAGGTAAATAAGAGCCCTACAGCGTTGCAAAACGCATTGTGCAAAGCGTCAGCAGCATCAAACGGGATCTCGTTTGGTGCATCTCTGTCGTACTTGGCACGTTCAATAGTCCCATTGACCTCGTTGCGCGCCTGCTGCACTGGTTTTCCCATCATGCCCGAGATTTCATGTGCGATGGACTCTGCATTGCCAGCGAGAGCGCTCACCCACTGGGTGCACAGAGCTTGACGTTGGTCAAGTGGCACATTTTTCCAGTCACGCTGCGCTTCCACGGCTGCACCGAGTTTGGCGTGCGCTTCGGCTTTGGAGTCATATGCGACCTCACAAAAGATCTCTCCCGTGTACGGATTGTCCACCTGGAGTCTGGACACACATATCCACATCAACCAAAGAGCTGCGTCAGCTGATAAGCTGCGCCGATATTGCACCCGATTAATTTGATGTGGCCTAACGAACGTGGATACAGCGAAGCCACGGAGAAAAGATGGCGTGGCAATGCGGCACGAGGCTGCCTTGTTCCTTGCAAACTACGACCATAACACACAGGGAGGAATGGAGTCCGCATTAAGTACGCTGCTAGACCTGAGGATCAAAGTGCGCATCCGTACGGGGCTAAAGAGGTGACGGGACAACATTCGGATGAAGGCACTTCTACTGGGGAAAAGCCAAAGTGGCTCCTGATTCGCTTATTTCTGGCTCGCGAACCCGAAACGTCGCAAAGTCGCCAATCTATTTTTGGAGACCGCGTGTCTCAGACTTTTGTACTTGTCGCTAGTCAGACCGATGGACAGGCGCGGGGGCGACTTTTGCTGAGGTGGGAATCAAGCGTCACTCGTTCAAGTATTGAAAGTTGCATACCCGCTGCGACTTGATGAGAGCAGTCGGTCTTGCAATTTATGCTGTTGTTGCCTTGTTCGTCGCAGTGCGGTGCAGACTACAGGAACCAGTGAGTTGAAATGCGTCGTGTCGATGCAGGCAACCAGAGCGAGTACGACCGATACGTCCGTGGATATCAATTGTGTACTTACGATACGTGCGAGCTTCTACACTTACTCTTGCTTCTTGTGCGCACGCATTCTATGCTTCTTGTGGAAAATGGCGATGAGGGCGAGCACGAGCACAATGGCAGCACCGCAGACGAAGCCAAACTGCTTCATGGCCTCGACAAACTCGAGCTCTCGCATCAATTTCACGCCATCTACACTACGGGAGAGGTTGTTGGCTACATTGACGAGCGCGATGAGCTCATTGCGATGCAATTCCGGGATTGTGGAGACGTCTTCCGCAAGGAGAATCTTTATGGCAGTGCCCAATCCCATCGTGTGCAACTTGCCCCATAGCCGACACTTCTCACACGTGACACAGTCCATAATGCGGCTCACGTTCTGAAACTTCTCACGAAACTGCACTTCCAGCTCCTCTTTCCCTTTCTTAGCAAACGCCAGCTGGTCCGCGGAGAGTCCGTCAGCTTGAACGCGAAAGAACGTACTCTCATCGAAGCCAGACAGGACGGACAAACATTCGGCATGCACTGGGCACGAAACTCCTGATGTCCGAGCGTCACTCGATCCCTCGAGCAAGAGCTGACGAAGGATTTCAGTCACGCGGAGATCATCAGCAACATTACCCGTGTTGTAGTCATACGCCAACAATGCATGGCGGTACTTGCCGATCGCCCGCATGACGAACAGGTAGGCAAAGTAAAGGTTCTGTAGTCGATCGCGGTGCTTGCCAACTCGGTGGACGAACAACGACGGGTTGCTGCCCCATTTGTTGCCAAACTTGTATGTCAGCGCAATGTGCGTATTAATGGAAGCCTGCAGTCCGCTGATAAGACGGTAGTACACCCGCTCTTCCAGACACATGCTGTCTAGCGCACTTTCATTCCGTGGCACGAAGCAATTCTCTTCGTAAATTGCCTTCCAAATACGTTCAGCCTGCACGCCACTGTAACCCGTATATCTCTCAGGATTTTCCAGCAAATTAATGTACGTCATCGTCTCCTCTTCTTCGCCCTGAGCAGCCCATACGTCGGCACTCGAGACCTCTTCCCACGCCTTGAAGCTCTCACCAGCAACAGCGTTCTTGCGCTCGACTTTCGACAAGGTGCTTTCACCCGTCTGCTCGTCACAGGGCTTACCAGCTTCTCCAAGACTGCTTTGACTGCGACGCGACTGGATCTCCTGCTGGTCCAATTGACTCCACGGCACTGGAATTTCGTGCGACGGACACTCACAGACAGCGCAGTCAATGCTCGCGCACATGCCGTCACCTTGCCACGGCAAGTGGGGACACTCTTTGCCAAGATCCACCTTGAAGTAGCGAAAAAACGTGAGGCGCGACAGCTCGTCCAGCAGCGGGTGGAAGTGCTCGTTCACTGCCTTGTCGACCGTCTCGTAGTCACACGCTGAGTCCTGTACACTTCCTGTGAGTTCAGGCGTCTCGCATACTCGACACTGAATGTAGTCGACCATGTCTTTTCGAGAAGGTGTCGGGACATTGTCGACGATAGGGACAGCTGCAGACTGCGTTGCCGAAGCGATGACAGACATGAAAAGCACTCCGAAGACAAGGGGACGCATAAGGTGTAAGAAAGCCTCCATTGGCATGGTACGTGGACGTGCGTGCGGGTCAATAGCGATCGAGAGTCACGGCTGCGTTGGCTGCCACGTTGAGCTCTTGAGGTCGCTCGACTTGCGTTTGTTGTCCACATTTGACCACCTGAGGTCTGTAATGTCTTTTCATTGGCTATAATGCACGGATAAGAATGTTTTTCGCTTTGAGTGTCGATGTTGTTCAGCCAATTAGCACCGACTATGAATTCTCAGAAAACAGATGACTAATCATCACATGCTAGTATGTCTTTTCAGAGGATCGACTGAATATCGCCTCGTCGGTGACTTCGGGTACGATCAAGAGCAGCAATGTGTGGCATTATATTCAACCAACGGCTAAAACATGCACGTGCTCTTCAACACGTCAAATGTTGTCAGTATGCAATGCGTGATATGCAGAGCGTGCCTTTTGCACTGGCTAGAGGCGAGCAGCAGATGATTGAAAGTCCTGACAGACCTCAACCAGATTTAGCGAGACGGAGCTACAGCGGACCGAACTCACACGAAATGACCTTCATAGCGCTCTTGCGGGTAATCAAATCCCGCTCTTCAACCGTTAGGAACACATTCTCCATGCGCTCGGCATGATCACGCGCGACTTGCACAAGCTTGTACACGTGCACCAAATCGCGTTCCAGTAGCCCTCCATCTGCTAGCGTCAGTGTTTTTGCGACAAGTTGTCGCCACGGTTCCGGTTCTGGCAGCTGCTGCTCACACACGTCCGACTGTAGCACGTCTTTACAGTTGTTCGTGACGAACGCCGATAACGCCACGTGAAGCCACACTTTCCACGAGCGCTGACGGTCTTTCGGATCCAGCAAATGCTCCACCTGCTGCAGAGCCCACGCCGATGTCACCGCGTGCAAGATAACAAAGTCATTGTGCTCAATCATCGAGTACAACCAGAATGCCAAGTCAAGCGCAAGTTTTCCGTCCATCTTCGATAGATCGTAGCCGTTGATCACTTCCCAAATCATGAGGAACGCAGTAGCGCTCCCTCGATCCGGGTCGCCCGACATTGTGCTCAACCGCTTCTGCAGGCCGCTCGTTTCAAGATCAGCGAGCGGTTTTGCCTGAAGTTTACGACGCATCTCACCCAGCAACACTTCATTACCGCTGAGGAGTCGCACAAGGTGCAACGCTTCTCCACGTGACAATGTTTTCTTGTCCAGTCGTTCCTCCCCATTTACTTGCGGCGGCTCGTCAAAGGACAAGTAGGCAAAGTGCATGTACGTCAACCCTTCCGCCACTAAACGATCCCCGCCAATGTGGTAAGCGTACCCCAGCTGAATGATCGAGTGCAGCAGCGCTCCCGCCAGTCCACCAACTAGATGTGGCAAGTGTTTCTTCACTGCTCCGTCAACTCCCGACTCTTGGACCTCAGCAGCATACAGCGACAGCAGTGCATCAAAGTTCTGTCGCTTTCCAAGCAACTCGCGTGCGCGTACCCACGTCAATTTTGCATCGTTTTCTGCAATGGTATCGCAAGCGTCAGGCTCAATTCCAGGAACATTCGTCGACTCGGTCTTTTCCAACTTGGTCGCGTAACTGTTTGCAAACGCTTCAACCTTCTCCTCGCTAGCCCCAAGATCGAAAAGCGCCACAACTCCATGCAGCAAGTGGTTGGACAAGTACCCGTTGTATTCCATTCGATAGCGCAGAGTCGACCAGCGCGTTGTCAGCTGTTGCTGCACTCGTGTCGCGCTTAACATTTTTTCTCACTCACCTTCAACGACCTGTGCGTTATCGATCACTTTGTTTTTGCTAACAAAAAAAACAAAGCGAGAAAAAAGTAAAAACCAAGCGAGAGAAAGCGAGGCGAAAGGAAAAAAGGAGAAGAAAAACTCGTTCGCGTCGTTTTAACGCTCGTGCTGTTTTCGGCACTTTTTGCGGTTTTATTCGTTTATATTCGTTTTGGACGTCCAGCACGCTGAAACCGTGAGCTCCCTTTTTTTGGGAACATGAGATGATGGAGGTGGGATATAAAAGCAGCGCGAGCGGACATCGACAGTCCATTTGGTATCAGAAGGTGCTCATATCCCGATCGTGTGTCTCTCTTCACTTTCGGACGTGTCCGTCTACTCCACTTCTTCTTGATACAAACACGCAGTGGCACATCATGTACCCAAAACTAAGGCCAACAACCCAAAAAGACAAAACTTACCCAAAATAACAAACTTGCCAACAACAATCCAAGAGCTCCCATCGTCGCGGCCAGGTAACGGCTATCCGAGCCACACCGCGTCACTCTCTCACAGTCCGCCTTCACTACGGCGCCAGCATCTTCAGTATCACCCTCTCCGTCTCTTGCCACCATTACATCCACCAACTCCACAGATCTCGAGCCGGGTTGCAGACTTTACGCCACCCGTTCAAGTCCAGTCTCTGTCGTCGACGCTTGCGTCTCTTGGACCTTCGCTTTAGTATCAACTGCAGTCCACTGCAGCTATTTTTAGCAAATGGGCAATGAACAGTCGACTTCCAGTGGATCTCGTAGTGACGGGATACCGTTCGTGTGTTGGCAGCGCAGTCCCAAGCCGCAGTTTGTGGCAGCTGCTGAAGATATTGACGCCAATATGCACGCACAAAATAGCAGTACGAGTGCAGTGTCAAGCTACCACTTTGCAGAGCCGTGCAGTTATCGATACGATCGTGTGTCGCGTGTGGTCACGGGTACTTTGGTGTATACGGACCCGCTGAAGGCAGACGGAGAGATCGTGAACAAGACGGATATGCTAGGGAACATTGCCATAGTTGAGCGAGGTGGCCGCGTTCATTTTCCCGACATCGTGCGCCGTCTGTTGGATCTCGGGGTCACCGGCATTGTCTTTATTGAGACAACAGCGGACAATAAACAGGCGACCCAGTCGCTCTTTGACGGTTTCCATTCGTCCGGACGTCAGTCTGTGTCCATTCCAATTGTGCTACTGTCTAAGTACCATGCCGATGAATTGCTGGATGATAGACCGTCACGGGTCTCGATTGAATTGCTCTGGAGAGAACAGGCGTGCAAACATGTTGTGCCGGACGATGTGTACTTTGGGATCCAGACTGCAGCGCGTGCTGGAGATGTCGAGCTGCTGAGATACTTGATGAAGATTGATACGTCAAGAAATGTCGTGGATGTGAGTTATGCATGGTATTCATGATGTTCATATGTAGCGCAGTGACCATTCGTCTATCGCTTGGCCATGCTGATTGTAAGACTGCTTTGTTTACTTGCAGAACTTTCCAAAAGCAATGACGTTGTGTGATGCTGCCGAAAATGGGCATGTGGACTGCATCGAGGTTCTGCACAGTCTAGGCGTTTCGCTGGACGAACAAAAGGTGATTGTTGAGCCGGTGTGAGCGACTGTACACAGGGAATCTTTTTTTGCTGATTTGACTGCTGCTCTTTTTGCACTATTATTTAGCCTACGGGTGTGTCGCCACTGATGATGGCTTGTTCAGTCGGCAATGTAGAAGCAGCGCGGGCTCTACTGATGTTCGGCGCCAGCCTCGACTTGGAAGATGTGAGTTTTTTCTGCACAAAAGTGGAAAGTATAAGACTGATGGTGAACTTGTAAGGTGCACGGCATGACCGCTCTGATGGTGGCCACACGTGACGGCCGTGCGAATTGTGTCAGATTGCTGGTCAAAAAGGGAGCAAGAGTGAATTTGTCAAGGAACCGAGTGCGTTACAACGTCGGTATCGTTTGCGAAAGTGATTGGCTACTGATGATCATCATGATTGTGTGAAATGTCTCTACCTTAGAGTCGCGGAACTACTGCGCTTCATATTGCTGCCCGTGGTGGCCTGGAGGAGTGCTGTTCGATTCTGCTCGAAAAAGGCGCAGAGCTCGAGACACCAAGTGTGCGTACATTCTTTTGTCTAACTTCGTCATTTCATTGTTAGTAGCCTTACGAATGCCCATAATCGACTTTTATTTTGAGCAGCCAAACTCAACCACTGCTTTGATGGAAGCTGCACGTGCGGGGAATCTTGGTTGTGTGAAAGTACTTGTCAAGGCTGGTGCTAGTTTGACCGCGAAGGACGTATGTATTTGACATTGCAACGTATCGTTTTTGCGCCCTGAACTCATGGGACCAAACATTGGTGGTGTGCAGAGAGATGGGAACACGGCGGAGCATATAGCGATGATGGCAGGGCACACTGGTATCGAAGACTACTTGCGTGAACAAGCTGAAAGTGTGAGTACAGCACTTGCGTAGCCACGGTGTTTGAGGGTCTTGTTTCTAACACCCACTGTTTTCTGTGTAGGAATCCGTCAGGGATCATCGTCGCAAAATTGAGGAAACCGTCGCCAAGCAAAACTCGACCTTGCAAGATTTGTTGAGGATTGCGAAAAGCAGCGAAATGTCAGTCGACATTTTGTACCGAGAGATGCTACGAGAGCACAAGTCGAGTAGTTGGCTGGAGCAGCCGCGAATTATTTATGAAGTATTCCGCTTATTGACGGTTCCAGCAGCATCTTCCGAGTTCGACGCTGTGGATGACCTCAATTACGGCAAGTACACCGTGCAGCATTTTTGTAGTGAGGTCGCGCTATGGTACCCACCACACATTTTCCAGAAAGGTTACAAGCTCGTTGGCGGTGGATGGGCTTTGAATAGTGCTGATGACTATGACGTCAAAACTGCATCAGGGTACCTGAAAGTGCTATTTAACTTTCTTTGTACTGCAGATCCCTTGGATGAAGTGCTACTGGTTCTTTTCTGTAAAGTAGTCAACCATTTGGTTGTGAACCAGAGTCTTGGAGAGCTAATCTGGCGATTTTTGGCCGACGAAGGGCGGTTCGTTGTGCCCTGGCTAGTCTGTCATATCGGTCTCGATTCGATTTGCGATACCCTTGTGTGGTTGCTATACTCAGACATGTCGGAAGCTGGACAGCACAACGTGCAGAAGAGTGGTATATTCGGCTGTTTATTCGCTCGCCTGTACTCGTGGCAGCGAACGTTGGGCTGGGGTGTGGGGACGTCATTCCAGCGAGACTCAGTCGAAAATATTTGCTCATTGATAAACTACATCATCTATCCGCCTTCGGTGTACATCATGAACAACGTGGCGACTTTCGTGGAGAATGCAGATCACTCGTTGCCGCTGATAACGGATCAGCAGTTTCCTCTTCATCACAACGAGCTGTTTAAGTCACTGTTGGTATATTTACTTAACACGACGGATGTCTCGTTTAGCACATTGCTTGATCTGGGATTTGCGGAGGTATGTCGCCAGAGTACAAAGGGATGCACGTCGCTTGTCGTCTGTGAAGGCGGTGCGCTCTCGATTGTAATGATGCTGATGAGTACGCTGGGATACCACAAGAAAAAACGTGATGTCACGGGAATTGAAGGTCTGTTAAAGACTGTCTGCGTGTCGTTGCTGACGGCGCTGATTCCTCGCGTGGAAAAGTTCGTGATGTTGTGCCGGGCAGTGGTCACATCGGATGTTGACGCGCTCCACGCACTATCGACTTCCTTCAACCCCGGCAGTGTCAAGGCTGTGAGTGCGAAAGGGTCTGCGCTTTTGCACATCATCACGTTTCTTAAGCGCTGTGTATTTTTGCAAAGTGGAGACGTGGACTACCAGCTGGCAAATTATGGTTTGATGCCATGCTTACTAGCCTGCTATGGCTCGCATCCTAGCAACAGCATGTTGCATCACGAACTTACCGACGTCATCAGATTCGTTTTGATGGACCCGGACCAGAAACGGTTGCCATCATCTCCATTGCTAAATAGTCTCTTCATCGAGGGAGCGAACATTCTGGATTTCGTTATTCAGGCGTACAACAAGCACATGCAGTACAAGGGTCACATGACGACGATTGCGAACAGTATTTTCACATTGACCAAGTACGTAGATTCTGTGCGATGTATCAGCTTCGACGTTCTAACGTGTGTCTCTTTTTGTCGTGTCAGCACTCCAAATTGCAGGAGCGGATCAGTCGCAATAACGTGTCAAGATGTTGTACGGCAGTACACATCGCAGCATGATAAGTGGGTGAAATTTGAGCACGTTATCGCGGAGCAGAACCGTGTCGAGATGCTACCGCTGGGTGAGCGCAACGCACCGTTGTGCCACGGATGCTTGAAGCTGAAGCAAAGTGCCGTCGAGTATGTGTCGGCCACGCTCACGATTGCCGAGGCGGGAGAGTATTGTGGGCATCTGGAGACCATTTTCTCGGGTGCTGCGAGCCACTACTGTAAGGTCACGTACACGGACGAGTTCATCACAGGCTTCATGTACAAAAAGGACAAAGTCCACGATCATATTCCAATTCCAGAGCCCACACGTGTGAGCTCGTTCATCCAGTTCCCGGTACCGATGCCATTCCACGCGCTTACGTTTACTATAACGTTTTTCGGGTTATGCCAAGTATGTGATAAGCTATGGTACTGCGACACGCTTCAGAGTGCGAATTGGGCGCAACGCATGAAGTGGGTCATCCCCACGTCGGTCCGCAAGTGGTATAGCTTTGGCGTAACTGAGGGACCGGGAAGCGGTGCACACGGTCTACAGTTTTCGTCAAAGGGTTACAAAAGCTTTATCGTGCTTACTGACACGTGGGGACGCCAGGAGCAGTGGTTGCACGCGATGGAAGATGCGATTCAGAACCTGGCTACTCAAGCGTATCGAGGCAATAGTGAAAGCGCCATGGCAATTGAAATCGACAATGAAGTTGACGCCGAAGAGCTCGACGTGATGCGCATAAGAGAAATTACGGCTGGGTTGGGCGGCGTTGGCCTCGTTGGCGTGCCTACTGTTGTGGGGTCTGGTCCACAAAGCGAATCCAGCAGCCACAGCTCGCTTGTGTCGGAAGAAGACGAGAAGGGAGCGCGCCGTCGAAGCAACACCTTGTCTTCGGCTGGAAGTGACGCTGAGCAGCTTTCAGGAAAGTCTGGAGACGTCGATGATCAAAGCAGAGATGCATCACCACAATCGCGAGAACCTTTGACAATGCCCATCTTGCGGTCACAGTCTTCCATTGAGCTCGCGTGCAAAGAAAACGGACTGAAGTCGTCAGGTGCTCAGGATGACAAGGTGTCTGGAAAATCGCGCCGGACTCTCAATCTGAAGCGGTTTCAGCCGGATACGCAGAAGTTTTCGGAAATCCTGTGCAAACTTAAGATTGACCCTTCACTCCGCTCTGGCAATACCCGAGCACCGGTGAGCACACCAGGCAACTTCGTGCCATTTGGTCAACCACGGAATGCTGGGAGTTCCCACAGCGGTGTGGATGGTCGTTCAGCAGCTGATCTCGTGGGCATGCGCCATGTTGTCTCAACGCCAGACCTCTCCCGGCTGCAAGGTTAGCGTCTTGTTTACAAATCTTAAGCTCATCAATGTCATCAAAACCATTTTAGCATAGACGAGAGGAGAGCACTTGTTTGCGCTTGAGCGATGCACCCCTAAGTGAGCTCACCAGACGACTTTACACGTGTTTGGTCCATTAAGTATCAGCGACCAGTTCCATTGCTATGCATTCGACTACATTATTTCGATACGTACGCGATGTACTGTGTACTTTATCTACTTCATCACTAGTCTTCCAATTACTATCCGACAATGTGGTCCCAGCAGGACATTCCTTCGGAGCAAACGAACCTAACAACTTAGCAGGTGTCTGTTGTGCCTTCCTTACCTTCGTAACAAAATTACAGGTTCTTGCTCGATGCTAGTGGCGGTTTCAAGTCATCTAATGGCTGGACAAACTTGCTTCTTCTTGTCTTTCGACTTCGCTTGGAACTCCCCGCTTTCAAGCTAACAACGTGGAAGATGCAGGTTGCAAACAGAGAACAATGGTTGATTGTTTTTCTATGAAAATACAAATAGCTGCTGGACTAGCCGACCGACCGACTCATACGAACGAGCGTCTGGCAGATGCCAAAGCTTAGTCATCCCGGGTTTTCTTCTTCTTCGACACACGCTTGACCTTGACAACTTGTGCCGGAGCCACGTCGTGTGCAAAGAGCTTTGACACCTCGAGACCCGACGTGAAGGCGTTGTTGAACATGACGCGCTGCTGGAACGAAGAGATGAAGGGCAGGAACATCGACACCACCATAATGGGCCCAAATACAATCCAGCCAACTGCATGGTCGAAGGCGCGTGCGAGCGCACGCACCACAATGTGGTGGTACTGCAGACGCAACATGCACATCTGCATGAACCAGTAGATCGCCATCATCAGCAGAATAAAGATTGCAAACAGGTTGCCCACCGACAGCACCGTCAGACTCAGCATCGATACGAGGAAACAGCAGCACGACAGCAGGAATTTGATCTTGCGCAGTTTGCGCTGTTTCATCGACATCTTCTTGGTCACACGGCTAGCAATGTAACCGCAGCATATCAGTAGTGCAAATATCACGATGACCAGACCGGACAACGCGTACGTCAGCATATCGTCACCCGACTCAATAACCCTGTTCGGCTGCTCGAAATACGCGTCGTACATCATGTTCAGGTACATGCCGACGGCGATCAGTAAGAAACGAAGCTTGCGAAGGCCAGTGATGAAGCGAGCACCAGAAGTCGTGTGCTCCAGATACTCCTGTTCATTGGACCACCAGCCAAACCAGCTGTCTGCCGAGTCGTTATTCGTTTTGAGCCAGTTTTGCCAGTCGTTATAGTCCTCAATGATTTTGTCCCAGTCCAGACCGCTCGGGTTGAAAAAGAATGGGGCCCACATCCACGTCGCAGCAATGATCCACAAAGAATACGACATGACACCATAGTTCTGGTTCGTTGGCAAAACACACGTCTGGTAGTGGTCGTCGTAGCAACGAGCGCGCCAATCAAGGTCGGACGGCTGAACGTTGTTGTAGAAATCGGCGTCCAGTCGCCATGAGCAGTTGCACCACGAAAACGTGCCGTAGATGTAAAACATCAACAACAAGAACAGCAGCTCCACACCACGGTAGAAGTGACTGAACGCGTAGAAGCGGTACAGCTCCGCAAACTTCTCGTGCTTGATCGTGAAACCACGACCCGTAGCACGGTACTTTGCGCCACCATGAATCAACGTACGGTCAAAGTAGTGCATACGCGTTCCCATCTGAAATGTGAAGAAGATAGGGCCAAGCGTCATGCAGTTCCACAGCAGGTAAGTGAAACCATGACGGAAACCCTGCTCCACACCTACCACTGCGATAACGGGAACTACCAACAAGAAACCAAACTGGAATGCCCATGATGTGTTCAACGTGCCAGCAATTCCCAGTCCACCCCTCTCGAGAAAGTAACTGTCCATGCCACTCAGCGCCATGTACACCTTGCCGTAGATAAAGAAGTACACGCCCACTACAGTCATGGACTGCGTAAAGTACCAACCCAAGTTGCCATAGAACCAAGAGTGAAGACGGAAGAAATCCAGACGCGAAGCCATACGCATCGCATCGCGGGAAATCACGGCTTCACCAGCGCCTGAAGATAACTTGGCCTCGAAAAGAGCTAGCTGCTGCATGCCCACGTCACGACCCTTGCCCACCTGGATAAACTCCTCGTGAGACGTACGACCACCGCGAAGGGTACTGTTGAAACCAGCAAAAATATCTTCTGAAAGGTTGATACCCTTAGAAGCCTTGGCTGTGCCACCACTACTCATGGCAAACAGTTTGTCGAATATATCGGGGTGGCCGTAATGCTGACGCACATGAAAGAGAGCAAGCATGCGCTGACCGAGCGACACGAAGGACAGCTCCTGGATCGACATAAAGCTGGCGAGGTTTGACACACCGCCAGTGAAGACGTGCTCACGGAAACCAATAATCGTCAAAGGACGTTTCTCAGTGCCACTGTCCATCGTTGACAACAGGTTCGGCATCTTCAAAGCTTCTTCGAAATAGCCATCCTGGTTCATGTCAATACACTGCAACAACTCGCCCCGCGAGAAGATGATGGCGTGGTTCTGATTCTCAGGCTTGCCCTCACCAACGATCGGATTGCCCGGCAACTCCACCCGGTAAATTTCGGCGATTTTGTCATCGAGGGCACGAATCAACACAGAAAAGAATTTCGGCGGGCCGTCCTTCACCTTCTTCGGGCCGTCAACGTACGCGACACGAAGGTTGGGGTGCTTGCGGAGCAGGAAATCAATGTCTTGAGCTTGCTGCTTTTGCTCGTCTTTCTGTCTTCCGTAAATCTGGCACGTGCACACGTAGCTAAACTTCAGGTGGACCATTTCATTCAGCTTGCGGCATTTGTTGCACGAGCATGTCACTTGATGCATCGGCTCGTTCTCGCCAATCTCCAACCAGTGCAAAAAGCGGATGGCTTCCTCGTTGTACATCATACCACGGGCAGTGCGAGCCAGAGTCTGCCCGCGGTAGCTAGCCCATAGCTGAACCTCCTCCGGGTTTTTCTTCAGCGCTTCATTCATGTCCTTTGCCTGGATACGTTCCAGTAAATTCTCCCATTCGAACGGATAGATGGTTTGCAGATAGTACAGCAACTTTATGCAGTCATCATTCTGAGCCGTCAAATCCTTTATCGAGTACATGACGATTTCGTTGTAGTACGGTGTCGACACAGTCAGTGAACGGATCTTGCGAATAGGCTTTGCCTCCGGCATGTCCATAAACAGCGAATTGGCGAAAAAGCGCAAGCGACGACGTCCTTCCTCAGAACGCGGCTCGGCGTCAAAGTTGTCGACCGTCAACAGCTGATACGCACGTGACACAATGTCCAGAGCAGCTTCATCGTTTACAATCTTCTGCAACTGTAAGCTCGCGTAATGCTGAGAATCACCAGGAAAAAAGAACGAGTTCGGCTTCAAAGGTGTGTCGTTCAGCATCTGTACCAAATTCTCCTGCTTTCCCAACACCATCTTGAGGCAGTTGATCACCGACTCGACGGAGTCAATCACCTTGTACAGCGCACGCTGGAACTTGATACTGCTTTCCGTAGACTTCTTCGGCACCTCAAGAATAGACTTCATGAGTTCAGCAGCGGTAGCACGGCACATGTACAGGTTGTCCAGCTTCAGACCCTTCAGAATTTGCTGGTGCGATGCCATCTCCTCGATAAAGTTGTAGCAGTCATCCAGCTCCTTGTGCTCCTCACCGAGCAAAATGCGAAGAACCTGAGAAGAAAACTTGTACGAGCCCAAAATCGATTCCACACGTAAATCGTCCTTTGTCAGTCGCTCGCGCATAGTCGTCTCGATTTTCTGAAGTACCTTGTCCTTCTTCTTTTTGTCGGTTTTCAGCTTCTCGTACAACGCTGAGCACTCGAGTACAATGTCGATCGACTCATCCAACTTTCCGGCAGTCAGGAAGGCAGGTGGGTACAGCTTTCGGCCCAACGTGTCCTTGGAATCGATCAGGTAACTAAGCACGTTGAGCTCGCGATCACTGATGACGTCAGCTTCCCGTAAACTAGTCAGGCAGCGATTCCAGGCCATTGCGAACGGAATCGTACGCTCGAACTCTGCTCCCGACACACCCGTGATGGAGCCAATGTTCGAAGTGCGGCTTGACTGCGATGACATGTCTTCATCAGTACCGTTCGGGGTCTTCATCTCGCTATACACGTCATCGTCGTCACGCTGTTCCAACAGGCAAGAGTATTTTTGCGTCTTCACCGTCAATGGCTTAGCACCCTGAGACATCGAAATGCGCTCGAAGCGGCGAAGAGGCATAGCCATCTCGTCCCTTTCGTTCCTGTTCTTTTTCTTTTTCATCTTTTTAGCCTTCTCCTCGACAATGTTTGGTACCAGCTTGCGGTTAAACACGCCTGGGATGGACTTGAACGTTAAACGCAGGATGCGGAATGATCGTAGTTCACCAATACGCAGATTAAAACCGGCGAACGAGCCGTAAATAACGGACAGAACCGAGTAGAAAATCTGCGCGTCGTACATGAACACCATCCACGCTGGGATCCAGAGGAAGACGATAAAAATAATGTTGTGGTGCTTGAACTGCAGCATGAAATGAGAATACTTGAGGAAGTCCGTTGACTTGGCCGAGTACACAAACAGCGTTGTCTCTACTAGCGTTTTGACCACAAACTGGTAATCAAACACTAGTTTGCACACGTACAGCACGATCCAAAAGCACGTGTACCGACAATATGTCTTCATAGGAACCGGCATGGAGCGACCCACGAAGCCCACACCAATTCCAGAAAAGAACCGGTTCTGAATCTCACACACGCACACGAGACCAACCATGGCAAATCCAGCCACAAACGCCATTACGCCTTGATCGGACCGACTGAAATCGATCAGACCTTGCAGTAACGTGAGAATGCGAGTCGGGCTCTTCGCAAGACTGGCAATGTCGACCTGGCAGCTCCCACAATTTAGCAGACCATCACCCTCGTCATCCAAAACACTATTGACCTGCTGCAGCCACGATGGCGCACACATGCTCTGGTCGTACGCAATCAATGTGACCACTCCTTCAGAAGACACTTGGTCGGCATCACCAACGTCGTTAAAGCAATCGTCGATCAAGTCGTGGTAACATTTACATCTACCCACAATCTTTTCGACACAGTTCGTGAACGGCACAATGTCGAGAAGCTCCTTAAAGTCTCGAGGTAGAGTGCCAAAAGTGTCCGAAGCCGACGAAAAAAATTGTATCCCAAGACATGTCGCCAGTTTGGAGTAGAGACACTGAGATCCTGCACCGCTGTCCGTATCAATTTCGTCCGAAAGAGTGTCGTCGCTGTTTTCAATGATCTCAGAGTCGATCGGCACTGCAAACCTCTTGCCCAAAATTTCAAGGGGTCCGACGGCCGACATCGGCTGTACGTCTTCACCGTACATAATGGCCGACTCGGGACAGTACAGCACCATGTCAATGGCAAACCCGAGCGTCGCCAAAAACAGAGCGCAGTTAATAAAGAATATGCGGCGAAACGACATGATCGCACGCAGCCAGCTCCTCGTCTCGTTGTACGTCTTCTTGACAATCTTTGGTCGACTCTTCTTGTTATTCGTGGCAAACGCCTCGCCAATGTTGGTATAGTCGTACTTTAAGCACTTCTTCGTCCAGAAAAACTCGTTAAAATCATCATAGTTTCGAATGTCCCGGTGAGCTGCCCGCGCTCCTTTGCTCGTCTTCTTGTCACTTTCACGGCGCACTTCCATGTACATCGGCCGGACTGTCGTCGCCAAGAACGCGCCTGGCTCTTCACTGCCCCCACTGTTGACTTTCGGCAGCATGCTATGCAGCAGAAAACACAGACACTCTGGCATCTGACGAAGGTTAGCAGCTTCGCCCCAAATGAGGAAAAAGAGCGCAATGTCCACGAGCGGGTCGCTCGAGAACTTGGGCTTCTGCGACACATACTTGCACCACTTTTTGTAATTGGCAAACACGCGACTGTGGAGTCGCGCAATGCCCTTGGTCGCAAGATCCAGCTCCAGCTGCGGGTCACGTTGGCGCAAATAGTCATCAATCGTCTCGGTATCATCCTGCTGCTTCTTCTTCTTCTTCTTCTTGGTCATCGTCCCGTCGTCGTGGCTGCTCTGTTCCTTAAAGTTCGTCAGCAGCAGCAGCAAGTGCTCCTTCTGATTCACGACACTGCTGTCCTGGAAGCCAAACGTGTGCTTGAGCGTCTCACAAATGTCGCCCAAGTGGCTCGAGTTGTTCAGCAGCTGCAGCACGGGCGCATAGACCACAGGCAGGCGCTCCATCTCGAGGATGTTGTGCTTGTTGATAGTCCGGGCCTTGCCGCCTGCACTGCCTACGAGGCTCTTGGCGCGCTGGCTCTTAATCATCTTGACGTACCGCAGCATCTTGTTGTTCAGCCGGTCCGCCGCGTCCTTCTCGTCTGCTGAGCTGTAGCGGATGCTCAGCGCTTGCTCCATAATGTCCACGGCGCGCGTGAGTTTCCGCTCGGCTTCGGCCACGTTGGGCGGCGACGCGTTCTGCATGGCCACGCCCGCGTTCACGAGGCTCATGGCTTCGTCGCACATCTGGCGCTGCATGTCCAAGGCCTCGGACAGGAGCCCGACCGAGCTGCTCTCGCGCTCGCTGCCATGTACGCGCGTGCTCATGGACAAGAGAGAGAGACGGGGCAAGAGAGGAGAGAGGAGAGAGGAGGAGAGGGGGGGGGAGATGCGCCAAGTCTCGAGTGCGCGCGAACGGGGTCAGTCGCCGACTGCGGACGAAAACCGAGAAAGGGAAATGGTGGAGGCAGAGGGCGGGATTGGATGGCCGGGCTCCTCCCCCTTTCCACGCGGCGTCTTGGAAACGCCTCGAGCCAGCGCAGTATACTCAACGCAAGTCACGAGAGGTTTCAGATGTCGCGTAGGGTTCGCAGAGAGAGGGAAAGCCAGTGCGTATGTTGCGCGAACGCCTGATCAACGGTCGCGATGGCGCCGGATGCGGGCCGTGATATCCGGCAAAACGTATACCTTCCGCCTTTTAGGTGGGACAACGCCGTGCAACGCTGCAGTCCAATTGGGCCAAGGTGGCCCAACATGCGACATGTCAGCAAGACGCGCGCTACGAAAAGCCCGCGTGAAACGACTAGCGGCGGCCATTACACGTTTCGAGCGCGGTCGGAACATGAGTCGGCTCTCGGGGTCCTTGCCGGTTTCATAACGCTAACTCTTCCTGTGTGCCATATCTCTAGATACATCTGTACATCAGGCGACATATAAATCGATACCAGCTACTGCGTTTTTCACGCGGATAAATGTCACCTAAAGCCTATCTTCGTAATCGGGCTAGAGTGCCGTAAGCACGTGTTGAAATGCCGGAGCCAATCGAAGATTCTGCTCCATGTCGTCCAGAATTCTGTTTTCGGATAAAGTCAAGACATTTTTTCCCTTTTATGCACTGCCTCTCCCACGCCATGTGATGGATGATCAGGTTGTACGCAGCATGTGGTTTCGAAACTTATGTCGACCATTCATACAGTCGGTCACTGCTGTCAACAACCCATCGGCACTTGCGTAGGGGGGCGCTCCAGCCGGCACCAACGTCAGCAGAGTGTGAAGCAGGGATGCGAGTCTCACTGCATCGTTTCGATGTGCAGTGAGTGACGGACAGAGACAGACCTCTACCTTTGTCCGCACATGTCACGCGAGGGGAAAGACTCATGCGACAAGTGTCGGCATCAGTCCAGCTCACGACCTCTTCATGCGCAGTGTAGCTTCGTCAGTTTCTCCGCCTGATCATCGATCGATCGGCTTCTTGTTATACGATCCATTACAAAACACCGAAGCACAAGGGAAGAGGATGCTGTCTCCATCGTTCCGTTGGGATCACCAAACGTCATCGCTCAACGTTTAACCAAAGTTGCTCTCGATGAACGACCAACCATATCTCGGGGAGAAATCTCGTGCCTTCGCGTGAGCGACCCGGATCAGGCGAGTATGCACCTTCGATCGGGGTAAAGCCGCTGGTCAAAAGAAACGACGACCTACTTTGCCGAGCTTGTGGTCATGAGTGGTGAACCCTTGACGATCGAAAGGGTCACCGTGCGACTGCTATCAATGTATTTTCTCTCGCAGTAGGTCAGATGCTTCCATCGCGGTCGCACTCCAGTGAGCGTTGCTTCGTGCACAGGAAGAAAGAAGGTGACGACTGACCACACGGTCTCCAATACGCTCTTGCCGTCTAATAGGTCCCGAGTTTGTAAGCATAACAGGCTGCTCACTGATGTTGTACGAGTCGCGAGGTATACGTGCCACCATTCCGTGTTCCTTTCAGTTTTGAGGTCGGACGGTGTCACGACCGAACCGTTGGACTGCGCCCGAAGTGCCCACTGTTTTACCTGCCTGACGACCTTCTCGCCTGTCGTCCGCAAGTTTCAAGAAAAAAAAGTGTGTTTACATGTACATTTATTTGCGATGAAAAGTACTTGAAAAAAGAAGATGGGCACAAGAGCGTCAAGAAACTGATCAAGCGATCCGATATGCCCATCTTGCCATCATGCGCAATGCGCTCAAAGTCTCTCTCGATGGCACAATCCAGCAATTCCGCGCACGTCATTCGCTAGCTCTAGTCACTTCGTTTTTTCTTCTTGGCCACGCGCTTGACCTTGACGATCTTGCTCGTGGACGACGCCGCCTCGTTTGCAAATAGTTTCGACACCTCAAGGCCTGACGTGAACGCGTTGTTGAACATGACGCGCTGCTGGAACGACGAAAGGAAAGGCAGGAACATGGCGATGAAGAGCACCGGGCCCAAGATGATCCAGCCCACCCAGCGGTCATACGAACGCGCCATCCCGCGCACCACCACGTGATTCGTCTGATTGCGGTAAATGCAGAGCTGCAGGAACCAGTAAGCGGCCATCAAGACGATGACGATGATCTCCATTAGGTTCACCATCGAGACGATCAGCAGACTCGCAGCCGCAACGAGAAGACCGCAGCAAGACAGTATGAACTTCATCTTGCGCAGCTTCTTCTGCTTGAAGGTCAATTTCTTCTTCACACGACTTGCGATGTAGCCGCAACACAGAAGCAGTAGCACGATAATGAACATGAGGCCCGCTAGTGCGTAGGATATCATGGAACCCCTCTCGATCTGAAGGTCCCGATCCTCATAGTAGGTCTTGTACGCCAACTGCAGGTACATGCCATATGCGATGAAAAAGAACCGCATCTTGCGGATCATCGACACAATGCGTGCACCTCTCGTCGAGTGCTCCAAGTACTCCACCTCGTTCGACCACCAGCCCGACCAACTTGCCGCAGAGTCATTCGTCGTCTTCAGCCAGTTCTGCCAGTCCGTATAATCCTCAATCAGCTTGTCCCAGTCGAACCCGCTCGGATTGAAGAAGAACGGCGCCCACAACCATGTTGCCGCAATGATCCACAAAGAATACGACATCATACCGTAGTTTTGATTTGTCGGCTGCACGCACGTTTGGTAGTAGTTGGCGTAACATCGCGTGTTCCAGTCGTTGTCCGAAGGCTTGTAGTAGTTGTAAAACAACACGTCCTGCGTCCACGAGCAGTTGCACCACGAAAACGTGCCGTATGCACGGAATAGAACTAACAAGAACACAAGCTCGACGGCGCGGTAAAAGTGGCTGAACGCGTAGAAGCGATACAGCTCCGCGAACTTCTCGTGCTTGATCGTGAAACCACGACCCGTAGCACGGTACTTTGCACCACCGTGAACCAGTGTACGGTCAAAGTAGTGCATACGTGTCCCCATTTGAAACGTGAAGAACAGCGGACCAAGCGTCATGATGTTCCACAACAGGTACGTGACACCATGACGGAAACCTTGCTCCACACCAACGACAGCTACGACTGGCACCACAAGCAGGAATCCAAACTGAAACGCCCAAGACGTGTTCAGCGTGCCACCAATGCCGAGTCCACCCTTCTCCAGGAAGTAACTGTCCATGCCACTCAGGGCCATGTACACCTTGCCATAAATGAAGAAAAAGACACCCACTACTGTCATCGTCTGTGTGAAGTACCAGCCCAAGTTACCGTAGAACCAAGAGTGGAGGCGGAAAAAGTCGAGACGAGTGGCCATGCGCAGCGCATCGCGAGAAATCACACACTCGCCTGCACCAGATGACAACTTGGCCTCAAAGAGAACCAGCTGCTGCATACCGACATCGCGACCCTTACCCACTTGGATAAACTCCTCGTGTGAGACGCGGCCGCCACGCAGCGTACTGTTAAAACCAGCGAAGATATCTTCGGAAAGGTTCACGCCCTTGGACGCCTTAGCAGTACCACCACAGCCCATCGCAAACAGTTTGTCGAATATATCGGGGTGACCGTAATGCTGACGGACGTGGTTCAACGCAAGCATACGCTGACCAAGCGATACAAACGACAGTTCCTGGATCGACATAAAACTGGCAAGGTTTGACACCCCACCAGTGAAGACGTGCTCACGGAAACCAATAATCGTCAACGGGCAATTTGCAGTCTCCGAATCCTTCGTCGATAACAGGTTCGGCATCTTCAGTGCTTCCTCGAGGTAGCCGTCCTGGTTCATATCAATACACTGCAACAGCTCGCCACGCGAGAAAATGATGGCGTGATTCTGGTTCTCAGGCTTACCCTCACCAATAATCGGATTGCCTGGCAACTCCACGCGATAAACTTCTGCAATGTTCTCGCCGTCGGCGCGCACGAGCACAGAGTAAAACCTGGGCGGACCTTCCTTCACCTTCTTCGGACCGTCCACATAAGCCACGCGAAGCGTCGGGTGTTTGCGAAGTAGATACTCGAGATCAGCGGCCTGCTGCCGCTGCTCATCCTTCTGCTTTCCGTAGATCTGGCATGTGCACAGGTAATTGAACTTGAGCGCAACCATATCTTCCAAGCGCTTGCATTTGTTGCACGGGCAACCAAACTGATGCATGACCTCATTCTCACAAATTTCCAACCAGTGAAGGAAACGAATAGCGTCCTCATTGTACATCATTCCACGCACTGTACGGGCGAGCGTCTGACCACGGTAACTTGCCCACAGCAACGTTTCCTCAGGAAACTTCTTCAGCGCCTCTTCCATGTCCTTTGCTTGAATCCGCTCCAGCAGATTCTCCCACTCAAACGGATAAATGGTTTTCAAGTAGTACAGCAACTTGATACTGTCGTCGTTCTGAGAAGTCAAATCCTTGATCGAGTACATGACAATTTCGTTGTAGTACGGTGTCGATACCGTCAGTGAACGGATCTTGCGAATGGGCTTGGCATCGGGCATATCCATGAACAGCGAGTTAGCAAAGAAACGCAGGCGACGGCGTCCTTCTTCAGAGCGTGGCTCGGCGTCAAAGTTGTCCACCGTCAACAATTGGTAAGCTCGCGACACGATATCGAGTGCCGCCTCCGAGTTCACCAAGCGTTGCAGCTGCATGTTTGCATACTGCTGCGCGTCGCCTGGAAAGAAGAACGAGCTCTGCTTCAACGGAGTATCCGTCAAAATCTGTACCAGGTTCTCCTGCTTGACCAGAATCTTCTTCATGCAGTTCAACACGGTTTCCACGCAGTCAATGACGCGGTAAAGCGCCCGCTGGAACTTAATGCTGTTGTCTGACGTTGTCTTGGGTACCTCAAGCAGCGCCTTCATCAACTCAGCACAGGCTGCACGGCACTCGTGAAGACTCTTCAGATTCAGGCCCTTTAAAACTGATTGCTGCGCAGCCATCTCCTCCATGAAATCGAAGCACTCATTCAGGTCTTTGTGCTCGTCTCCAAGCAAAAAGCGGACAGCTTGAGAGGCGAACTTGTATGACCCGAGAATTGACTCAACACGCAAATCGTCCTTTGTCAGACGCTCGCGCATCGCATTCTCGATCTTTTGCAACGTCTTCTCCTTTTTCTTCTTGTCCGAGCTCAGCTTCTCGTACACGGCCGAGCAATCCTCAATGATGTCGATGGATTCATCCAACTTGCCTGCAGTCAAAAAGGCCGGAGGGTACAACTTTCGGTCTTCCGCGTCCTTCGAGTCAATCAAGTAGCTGAGAACGTTCAGCTCGCGATCGCTGATGATATCCGCCTCGCGGAGGCTGCCCAAGCAACGGTTCCATGCCATAGCAAACGGAATCGTGCGCTCAAAGTCGGCTCCGGAGACGCCCGTCACGGATCCAAGCTGAGACTGCCGACTACTTGAGCTTGCGTCATCCTTATCATTGGGTGTCTTCACCTCGTTGTACTGATGGTCACCGCTCTGGTCCAGAAGATTCGAGTACATCTGCGCCTTCACAGTGAGAGGCTTGATTCCATCTGCCATAGATACACGCTCGAACTGCCGTACCGGCATAATGGACTCCTCTTTCTCGCCTTTTTTCTTCTTTTTCTTCTTCTTCTTGCCATCAGCCGCACTGTCCTGAATGTTCGGAACGATCTTTTTGTTGAACATGCGCGGAATGGACTTAAACGAAAGCCGTAGAACGCGGAAGGAGCGCAATTCACCGATTCGTAGGTTAAAACCCGCAAACGAGCCGAAGATCACGGACAAAACCGAGTAAAAGATTTGCGCGTCGTACATGAACACGAAGAAGGACGGGATCCACAGGAACATGATGTAAATGATGTTGTGGTACGTCACTTGGAGGATGAAGTTCGAGTACGGAAGGTACTCATTCTCGTTCGCGTACCAGATGAACAACGTCGTTTCCACCAGGGCCTTGATCATGTACTGGTAGTCAAATGTGAGCTTGCAAGCAAACAACAACAGCCAGAAGCAAGTGTAACGGCAGTATGCTCGAATAGGCACAGGCATTGAACGTCCAACATAACCCGAGCTGACACGCGAGGAGATCTTGTTGAAGAACTCGCATACGCAAACGAGAACCAGGCATGCCGCGCCGGCAGCCATCGCAAGACCGCCCATGTCCGTACGATCGGTGCTGTTCATGTCATCAGGACCTAACGGTACGCCGTCGCCAAACTTCAGCAGCCCTCCAACCAACTCGCCTATCTTGCCGTTCGTAATCAGCGCCTTGATGCCCAACTGACAGATCGCACAATTGAGCTTACCCGGACCAGGCTCCTTAATAATAGACTCAACGGCAGCACGCCAGTTCACGACACACATGCTTTGGTCAAATTCACCCGAAGAAGAAAACGCAAGCTCGTCTTCGGTGACCTTCACCGTATGACCCGTTTCGGCGAAGCAATTGTCGACAAGATCCAAATAGCAGCCGCACCGACCGGCACTTTTCTCCAAGCAGTCGGTAAAGGGCACAACCTGAAGCAAGGCCTTGAAATCAATAGGGATGTTATCGAAGATGTCGGAAGTGTACGTCATACCAAGACAAGTGGCCAGCATTTGCTGGTTGCACGTTGGTCCCGAGCCAGAGCTAGACTTGTCGTCGGCGCCATCACCTGAACCATAAGCAGTGATATCAGATGCCGTAAGGTTCTTACCGAAGACCGTGAAGCCTCGAGAATTTCCATTGTTCAAATCAGCGCCGTACAGAATAGGTGTGTCCGGGCAATACATGACCACATTGAGTGCAAATCCACAAACGGCCAGGAACAGTGCACAGTTGAAACAGAAAATACGGCGGAACGATATCACCGCGCGTATCCACGTACGCTTCTCGACAAAGCTCTTCTTGATCACTTTCGGATGCCCCTTCTTGTCCACTTCGCCAAACGGCTCGTGAATAGTCGTCGGATTGTACTTCAGACATTTCTTGCTCCAGAAGAACTCATTAAAGTCGTCATAGTTACGAATCTCAGCGTGCGGGGCCCGTGCACCTTGCGACGTCTTCTTGTCATTGTCCTTTTTGATCTCGTTGTACATGGGACGAATGACCTCGACGAGGAAGTCGCCAGGGTTTTTGCTGCCACCCCGGGACGAAGCCTGGGGCAACGACGTATGCAGCAGAAAGCAAAGACATTCCGGCATCTGACGAAAGTTACCAGCTTCGCCCCAAATGAGGAAAAACAAAACAATGTCGACGACCGGGTCGCTCGTGAACGCGGGCTTCGTCGATACGTACTTGCACCACTTGGTGTAATTAGCAAAGATGCGAGTGTGGAAGCGCTTGATGCCCTTGTTGGCCATCTCGAGCTCCTGTTGTCGGTCCAGCTGCCGATGCCCTTCACCATTTGTACTTGGCTCATCTTCTTGCAACTTAAAGTTCGTCAACATGAGCAGCACGTGTTCCTTCTGGTTGGCGACATTGGACTCTTGGAACCCAAACGCGGTCTTGAGGCTTTCAAAGACATCTCCAACAGCAGAAGAACTATCAAATTACAACAACAACAACAACAGCAGCAGCAACAACAAAAGAGAGAGCAAATGTCAGTGATACCCCCCCCTCTCACCCCCAAGTCTAGAAAAAGACCACACACAACAAAGTCGTACTTTGTCAGCAGATCCACCACGACATTGTACGTCGTCGGTAAGCTGTCCATGGGCAAGATGTTGTACTTGGTGTTGTGGCCGCGACCGGCCCCACCACCAGCCACGCCCTTCTCCCGCTGACTGCGGATCATCTTGACGTAGCGGTTCATCTTGTTGTTCAGACGCTGACTCGCGTCGCGTTCCTCCTGCGACGGGTACTCAATAGCAAGTGCCTGTTCCATGAGCGTGACTGCGCGCGAGAGCTTGGCATCGGCCCCTGTCGCGTCAGGCGGCGACGCGTTCTGCATGGCGACACCGGCGTTCACGAGCTCCATGGCTTCATCGCAGAGCTTCTTCTGTTGACGCAGGAGCTTGCTGTACTGCAAGGCGTCATCGCTGTCGCCATCGCTACCGGAACGCGCCATGATGCGCGAGCGAGCTGCGGAGCGTTCAAGACTGGGGAGGAGAGGCGGGTAAAGGCGAAGTGACAAGGAGCGAGAAGAGTCAGTGGGAGGCGGGCGGGAGGGGGCGCGACCTGGCTACGTCCACGTGCGATGGACCAGCTGGTTTGGATTCTTATCGCAAATCGCGACTGGCGGGGGGGGATGAGCACTTGGACTTTGTATGTGGACGACGGCAGGGGTGGGTGCCGTCCGTCGTCCCCTCGAGGTTTTTCACCTGTCTCTTGGACCGCCTGCTTGTCACCCCCTCGTTGGGTCTGGCTATCCCGCCATGCGGTCGACCGATACTTTGGCTTCGGGCGTACAAAAGTCAAGTGATTGCACAAAAACAAGAACAACAACAACAACATTGCAAAGTAACGTCTGTTGGAAGTGCTAGAAATCAGAAACCTGAAATAGAGACATCCTTGTCGTACCTGCGAGTATTCTACGTGTAACAAAAACAGCGGACGCATCCGTTCAGTCGCTTCATGGATCCCGATGGATCAATCGATGTTGAATGGTTCCGCAGATTTCATTTGGGTTGAGATGGTACTCGGCAGAGGTTTCGGATGCCAGTCGTTCGAAGGAAAGCACTGCACTCGAGTTCTCGATCGAACAAAATAAAAGTCTTGCCAAAGAGCTACACACTGAACATACGTACGCTGGATGTTCAGCTGGACCGTAAACGGGCAGCGAGTATGCGGATTACCGGTACCGCAGAAGTAAGGCTCTCTCGATCCGACAAAACAGTCGTACAATCTGGTCGATCGATGCAGCGACCGTCCATTCCACTATTACCGAGTGATGTAACGGCAAACGTGTCAGCTGCATCTTTTCTGTCCACTGCGCGATCTTTCTCCCAATAACGAGTGGACGACCAACTGCGAGTCGCATTTGACGGGGCGAAAGGACTGTACGTACGTACATACGTACATACCACCGTCGCATAGTCGAATGCATGGGTAAAAAACGCAGCGCCAACGATCGACGTCGAGTGCGCGGCATGCCCGGGCAAGCACCAGCTGAGCGGGAGCGTCGGCTGATTCGGCACAAGGAAAGGGAACTACGCGCTGGATTGCTACGTTTGCGCGCGCTCGATCGTGTCGACTACGTTGCAGCTGTCGACGAGAGCGACGCGTGTTTCCGGGAAGTGCGTCGACTCGCTGTGACGCCAAAAGGACTCGTGTCGGACGAGTTTCGAAAGGAATTGTGGCCGTTTCTATTGGGTGAAAGTGGCGCCAGCCACACAACGCGATTGGCGGATACGATTCTCAATGGGAAGAGCTCTGCTGAAGCCCATCGGGATGCCGCGCAAGTGGAGAAGGACGTGGAGCGATCGCTGTGGCACTATGACGTGTTGCAAGGGATGAAAGAATCGGAGCGTCGCGTGAAGCGCCAGGCATTGATGCAGCTGATACTGCACGTCCTGGACGCAAACGACGAGCTGTTTTACTTCCAAGGGTACCACGACATTGTGTCGGTGTTTCTACTGACGCTGGGCACGTCGGACACAACGTTGCGCGTTCTTCAGAAGGTGAGCGAGACGTACCATCGCGAGACCATGCGGGAAGGACTGGAGCACGTGATGTCTATCACGCGGTTACTGTTTCCACTGCTGAATGCAGCGGATGAGCTGCTGGTCCAGCATTTGCACGAGTCTGGGGTACGTCGAATACATTGGCGGTGCGTACGACTGGTCGGTTTGATTTTTGTAGCGGTGCTGACGATCGATGCTGTGGATGATTCTAGGTGGAGCCTTATTTCGCTTTGCCCTGGATGATTACGTGGTTCGCGCACCAGCTAAAGCGCTTCGAAGATGTGGCTCGCTTGTTTGACGTGTTTCTCGTGACTCACCCGCTCTTCAGTCTCTACGTGTCCGCCGCGGTGCGTGCTTGCGTTATTTACTGTGTGTGGGTTCCCGTTCGGTCTCAGTCGTTACTAATGGACGCAATTTCATGCCGTTGCAGGTTTGTCTGGAGTCGAGAGAGGCGATTCTCCGATGCGAATGCGATTTTGGCACGATGCATGGCATGCTGTCGAATTTACCACTTTCTATGGACATCGAGAAGGTGATTGCACGCGCTCTTGTCTTGTTCCACCAGTTGCCGCCAACGCAGCTCCAACAGCGATGTGAAGTGGAGATCGCCTCAACGTACGATACATGTTTGGCGGCATATGTAAAATGGTTTGGAGGCAAGTTCTTACGACAGGGGTTGTATGTTTACTGTAGCACCAGCTCGAATGTGTTCACTGTCGAGTTTCCTTACGAGTACCAACCGTGGCCAAGTGTAACTACACCCATGTTAGAGGAAGTTTTGCCATTACCTCCTCGTCGGTCAAGGTTAGTCGGTCTGTGTTCATGGTGCGAATGGTCAGCCGCTTACAATGTTTGGTCCTTGTTACAGTGACGGAAACAAAGCGGGTTTCGTAATGGTCTCTTGGCAGGTACGCGCATGCAAGAATGTTTTGTCATTGCGTGAATAATTACCGATCTTTGATGTGTTGCGCCGTAGGTTTCTACTGTCGTCGCGGCTGTATCAATTGGTGTCATGGGGGTAGCGTCTGCGTACTTCCTTCGTGATCAAGCCGGATAGGGTGCGTAAAGCAAACAATTTATTTCTGATGATAGCGGAAAGAATCTACGCATGTTAGCAATTGCCCGATCGTGTAGCATCACTAGCAGAAGGACGTAGAATGCACGTCAAGCACACGAGACAATAGTTTTGTTCCGCTGCATTATTTATGCTGTGGATATTGGCGGAAATTCAAGAGAAGCAAAACTACAGCCTGCATTGTAGCAGACGCAGCACTAGCATAACAATACTTCTAAATAGCATAATGTAAGTCGTCAAAAGTCTGGATACACTGTTACATGCGCCGGGTCTGATCACGCAGCGTCTGTTGGTCTCCCATGTCCACTCGAAACGAACATGGGTCGAACGGTCGACACTATTAGCGGTGACACTCGTCTTCCAGCCTCGGAACGTACTGCGACGTCCATGCCATGAATGACTGGCCTTGGCAATGCCTTCGTGAGGCACTCACGCGTCCTCAAAGTACAGGTACTTGCGGCACACTGGGCAGTTCGCGTCACGATTGAGCCACTCGAGCAAGCAGCTCATATGAAAGTTCGTGCGATTCATGCCGCACATGCACAACGTCCGTACCTTCGGGTCGTCCTATACAGGAAGCACAAGCAGAGTTACACCACAGACAGCAGCATCATTTCACACACCGCAAGCAGCACTTACTACTAAGAATGTGCCCAAACAAATGATACACTCGAGTTCCAGTTGTCCTGCATCAACCTGCCGACAGCCCACGACCTCCGATTAGAACACCCTCATAACGTCGATACAACTAAAAAAAGACAACAACAACGTCTTCGTCCCGCAACAAACAGCACTCACCACGCCTGTAGCCTCCTGATAAGATTGTAGCAACCTCAAAAGATCGTCTGGTCGAGAAAACGGCAGAACATGGCGGTTGGCATCCCAATGTACCCATTCCACATCGCCGTCTCGTCGCACGTGCAGCTCCTCCGGTCCCTTCTCCTCTTCACCTCCACCGCGTACCAACCCAGACGTGTAAGCAGAGCCAAGGCGCTTCAGCGCTCCACATTGACTGCTCCTGCCGCCAGACTCCACTTTATTTCGTAAACGAAGCAGCTCCAGCTCCTGGTCCCCATCATCCTCCTCGTCGTCCTCGTCCCCTCTCTCCATGTCCAATGTATCCACATCGTCCGACGGCCGTCTCTGATACTTGTGCGTATGGTCAAGAAAGGAACAGTGCTGCCCCATGGCGTCAACCCGTCGTCACGTGACCGACCAACCGACCGACCGACCGCCGAAAGACCGAGCACGACCTCGTACTTCCTCGCAAGAAAAAGTCTGATAACAACAACCAGAACAACCCACGAAACGTCGGACTGCAAAAAGAGAGCGGTACCAAAAATACCACCGACTCGCGCGGTCCTTCACGGTCGGTTACCGCCAGCAGTACATATACCGGTATCAAGAACCGATCCGAAAGTGCCACCCGTTGACACCTTTAGACAGTTCTCTCAATGCCGCTACGAGCGCTCGGTGTGGTGCTGGCCGCGCTGCTGTTGCACGCGCACAACGATTTTGCGCCGCTGGATTCATACGCTATGTTCTCTGCAACAAGCAACTTGACCATCGAGCACCAGTTCAGCGACTCGTACTACTCCGCGCGGGAGCTTTTCCGCATACGCGCCGAGGCCGCAGGTGCCAAGCTCTATTCGCTGCCTCTAGAGCATTTACAGTCGCTGGACTTGACGGTGGACGTGGCTGTGCTGCAAGGATCGAAGAAACATATACTGCTGCATGTCTCAGGCACCCATGGCGTCGAGGGATTTGCAGGGAGCGCTATCCAGGCGGTGCTATTGAAGGAAGCTGCGGAGCGCTCGCGCTTTGCCGAACGGCTCGATCCCACAGTGATATTCGTGCACGCGCTCAATCCGTACGGGCTTGCTCGTCTACGACGGTTCAACGAGAACGGCGTGGACTTGAATCGCAATTGGCTCACTCCGGAGCAGTTCCAAGAACGTCAAGCAAGAGAGTTGGATGGGCGCGGATACATGAGTGTCTACGATCTGCTGAATCCGACGGAAGTAAACGGGATCCAGAACTGGTTTTGGACGAAAGGTATGTGGTATTTGGCTACGCGGGGCTTTTACGCCATCAAGCAAGCGACTGTTGGTGGGAACTACCGTTTTCCGTGGACGCTCTTTTACGGAGGAACAGAGCTCGAACCGAGCTTGGTGCTCTTGCGAAAGTTCTTGCGAGAACATGTGGACTTTGACGTCGTGAAGACATTTGCGATGATTGATGTGCACACTGGGCTCGGCCCTGCTGGGGTGGACACGCTCATGCTGGGGGCGGACAGCAGCGTGGATGTAGCACGCAGTGTCTTTCCTGGTCCTGAGTACGCAGATAAGGTCGTTTCTACACACGACAGTAGCAACCCGGTGTCCCGCGGCTACGATGATGTTGGCGGCCTAATCTACAATGGTGTGGCAGGCCTATTGTCCCCGCAAACGAAAGAGAACGCGGTCTTGTTGTGTCAAGAATTCGGGACAGTGCCTGGCGTGTTTATTTTGAAAGCCTTGGTTGAAGAGAACGTGATGTACAAGCGTAGCTCGTCGTCAGCGGCCCGATTGCCGTATGCTCAGAAACTCAGGGACGTGTTTTATCTGCATCAGAGTAACTCGTGGAAGAGTGAGGTGCTGCGTCGCGGTGCTGACGTGTATGATCGGCTTTACGCGTTTGTAGCTTCCAAGGAATGAGTGAGCGAGTAATCATTTATAACCAACCCATTGCAACGCAGGACTCAGACGTGGTGTTGAAAGTTGAGCCAATGTGGGTCGTAGTCCGAATAAAGGACCCTTGACTGTGAATTCACTCTCGTACTTCTGCTGGCCTGTCGTTAACGTCGCGACGTGGACCACACAAAACGTCGTCATTGGCTGGACACGAATGACTGGCGTTGAGGCGGCCTCGCCGTGCAGGTCCACACTCGTTTATTCGCCATCTACGACACCATGCCCACCAAGAAGATCAAACGCACGACGACAAAGACGACGACGACGGTCCGAACGACCAAGTCGGTGAAAGTCTCGGCTGCCGCGAAGAAGAACCCGCTCTTCGTATCGAGGCCCAAGAACTTCCGCAGAGGCGGTGACATTCAGGTATTTTGACGCGCCGCGCTTCTCATCGCCATCATCGCGTTGCCCGCGTCTCGTTTGTGAGACAAGGGCCGCGATTCACGCCTCTCAGTGACAGTCAAAAGAGCTGGGACTTTGGCTGGAAGGAAACAACCCCATCGTCCTTGCTCTCTCTGTTGCACTGAAGAACAGTGTAGCGGGTCTTCCACGACCGCAATGACACAAACTTGTGGTGGCAATAACATCGCTTGCGATGTTTTGCGCCTCAAGGGTAAAGAACTGCTTCTCGTCTGCCGTCTTGGCATGCTTTAGCTCACTAGTTTTCTGGCGCTGTCTCGGGCTACCCGTGTGCCAGACCTCTGTCGTACTCACTTGTTGCTGCTACTTTTGTTGTATTCCATTATAGCCCAAGCGCGACCTGTCCCGCTTCGTGCGCTGGCCGCGATATGTGCGTATCCAGCGTCAGCGTAAGATCCTGTATCAGCGCCTGAAAGTGCCGCCTTCGATCAACCAGTTCTCGTACGCTCTGGACAAGAACGTTGCAACGGACTTGTTCAAGCTGCTGCTGAAGTACCAGCCAGAGACCAAGGCTGCCAAGACTTTGCGTCTGCGCAACATTGCTGCTGGCAAGGAAGAGGCATCGGCGCCGCCTAGCGTTGTAAAGTTTGGACTCAATCACGTGACGACGCTGATTGAGACCAAGCGAGCTAAGCTCGTGGTCATTGCCCACGACGTGGACCCGATCGAGCTAGTGGTGTTTTTGCCTGCTCTGTGCCGTCAGTTTGACATCCCGTACTGCATCATCAAGGGCAAAGCTCGTCTGGGTCAGCTTGTGCACCAGAAGAACGCCGCCGCCGTGGCGCTCACACACGTGAACAAGGAGGACAAGGCGAAGTTTGACTCGCTCGCTGGAGTGGTGCGTGCAAAGTACAACGACGACTCGACCTCGCGTCGTAAGTGGGGCGGAGGTATCATGGGGCTCAAGACCCAGAAGAAGCTGGAGCTGCGCGAGAAGGCGATCGCTGCTGAGGCGGCCAAGAAGGCGCAGTACTAGGGGGGACAAAGCTCACACATTCGACCTATTGAAAGCGTGGGTGTTGAATGAATGTGTCTGTCTTCTTGGGAGGAGATCACCTTGACTAGTGTAATGGCTGAATAACATGCAAACAACCGTCTGACTTCCGGTATTGTCATTGCTGTGCTACCATCATTTACGCGCAGCTTCACCAAGTACCGGTATCGACATCAGTATGTAACTGCTGGGTCAAGCGTGTAACTCCGGTACATCAGTCCAGTGTACCCCTGCCCGTTCTACCCGTACCCGCTGTCTGCATCTATTGAAAAAAGCACGTTTCTGTCGGTCTTTGTTGCTAACCTTTACATTCCTTATCCGTCTTTTCTTTGTCCATATCGTCATCGAATCAGACGGAGCTCCTGCCTGACAACTTCCAAGAAGGACGCCGAGTTACTACTGAATGTCGCACTGGACTGGAGACTGGAGACCGCACCGCATCACAGACGTCCATGCATTCATCTCGACCATCGAACGATGATGCTAGTGTAAAAGCTGATGGCGAAGCGAGCGCTGAAACGACGACCTCGCAAGAAGTTCTGGAGACTTCGGGCAGTTATTCTACGGATCTCACGCAAGCTTTTGCTAGCGTCTCTCGGAAGGCGAAGAGCGGGGTACAAACGTGCCACGCTGTATCAGCTTTTGTTTCAGAGCGTGCTAGAGTGGAGAGTGATTATGCACAAGCTCTGCTGAAACTGACACAGTGAGGACAAGCTCGTTGTGTACACGTCAAGCATCAGTTGTTTTGCAGCATGTTTTTTTTTGGCTTATAATGATGAGCTTGTTGCCGTTGATGCTTTTACCTCTTTTTAGAAACGCTAAGGCGGAAGATTGGTCGGAGCAGTTTACGCGATGCTGGGATACGTTTTGCACAGCGATTGAGCACGTGGCTCAAGTGCGATGTGAATTTGCGTCGACATTGCAGACGGTGATTGTGCCGGAGACAGAAGCTTTTACCGTGAAGCAAGAACGTCAGGTGCAGAAGATGATTGCAGGTGTTTCTTTTTCATTTTCGTTTGAGTGTCATGGAAGTGAAAACTATAACACAGTTGTGGATATGTGATTGCACTGCTAAAGAGGGGGTCAGCGTTCGTCGTGATCAGAAGCAAATGACTGCTTTGATCGACAAAGCAAGGAAAAAGTACAAGCGCAAGTGCCAAGGAGCAATTGAACTCATTGCGATGATGCGAAGAAGCGACAGCGTGTCACCAGCACATGCCCACTCTCCGTTATTGTGTCAGTTATCGTCGGAAGAAGTGTCAGCTTCAAAAGAACTAACTGAAAAACTTGCATCGGGTGCTGGTCACTTGCTGACGAAGATGTGGGATACTACATCTGCGTTCGGGCGCAATTCATTGGAGCGACAACGCGCAAAGTTATATGTGTGTCTTGAAGAGGTCATTTCATCAGAAAAGCTTTATCTCCAGGCAGTAGAAATCGCAAATGCACAACGTTTGGATATCGAGCGGAGGACCAAAGAGAATTTGCGCGCTTTCCAGCTGACCGAAGAACAGCGTCTCGAGTTTCTTCGCGACATATCGATGCGAATGCAACAAGCCTTTGTCGACATCTTCCCACAGTCTCAGCAGTTCGTCGAGCATATGAAAATGAGCATCAATCAGGTTGATGAACTGGGTGGGTAAATTTCTGCACGTTATGTTGAATGTTGGGTAGTCGGGCTAAGCTCTAACACATGTACTGTTTGGAATTTAGCTGAAATTGAGAAATGCTTTGAAAGCCTAGAAAGCCAAGAGGACGCGGACATTGATCAAGAAGACTTGTCGATCAATCCTTTCTACCTTCGCATAACGCATATTCAGGCGATGTCGGACGATGGTCAGCGCATGGTCCGAACGATCAAATCCGTCTTAGCAGGGCTCATTGCTGGTGAAACTCACTTTTTGCAGTCGCTACACAAATTGCTTCGTACGCATGAGACCAGTGGTCGTTCTCCGGCTTCCAATCATTTTGTTACATCATCAATCAGCACGAAAACGAGTTCCGTAAATGATGAAGGTGCAACAATGGCGAATGGATGGATGGCGTTGAAAGATCAAGTGAAGCTTCTTATGGAAGTTCACCAGGTACGTTTTACAATGTATCTGGCGATTACATCTGCTGATTCCTCGCATTCGCGGTTGCACCTGCTACGTTAGGAATTCGAATCATTACTCATCGAGCCTGTATCACTTAGTCTTGATACCATGGAGAGCGAGATTGAAACCACATGCATATCAGCCCAAAAAGACTTTTTAGAATTGCACACGACACTCTGCAACGAGACAGTTGTACGCGAAAGGCTTCAGCAGAAGCTTGACAAGAGATCCCGGGACTTTGTCACCGCCAATTCGAACTTGCCCGGATCAGCCATTGCGAACATCAATGTTGACAACATTGACGTTACTCAAGCTCTGAAAGCGCTGAACGGAAATGGTCATTTTCTCGAAGAGAAAGAGCGGCGATCTGATGTGAAGCTCCAGCAGCTTGCGAGCGAAATACGTCAATCGCAGGCCTTGGTTCTTGAAAGCAGTGACTCTTTACGAGTGACGTACCAGACCTACGCCCAGGTTTGTTTGTAGCTTGTTTGTTTAGTAGGGCGATCCCTTGCCATTTATTTCGTAGGTAAATTCCTTACCTTTGTAAATGCTGTGTCTGTAACCATGCTATTTAGGAAATTGCGGCGTTGATTTCGGTGTACAAAAAAAACGAACAATATCGTCTCCAGGTTGCCAAGAACTCGCTACAGTCGCTGGCCAAAGCAATTGAGCATATGCTTTGCGGCGGCTTATCAGTCGGAAAGAAGGCTATGGCCGTTTTTGAGAGAATTGATTCGAGCGAAGATGCAGCCATTTTTATTCGGACCAACCGACAACTGTACGAAAGCAGCAAACAAATTGTGGCGACGCACCACGGTAACGAGAGCTTGAACGATGTCATGCAAAAATATCTCGCATCGCGCGGAGGATCAGCAGCAGAGGCGTTGTATAATGCGGATGTAATACCTTTCATCCCTTCGGACGGCACGTATGTACCGATTTCGATCAGTGGTGCTCCACCTTTACCCAAGAAGATACCGGTGCTAGCGAGTACATTACTGGCAGAAGATGATCAAGCTCTGTTGGCAACGGGCTATGTAGGAGGCAACACAATGGCTGATGCGGGTGAAAGTGTTTGCACTGAGGAAAAGCGAGATGAAGTGTTTACTGAAGTGCAGCCTCTGGAGGTGTCCGACTTTCAAAAGAAGTTCAAGGTAATGCTTGACATTTCGCTCTTTGTCAGTGGGCAGAGACGCAGGTCCTAACACCTCTTTGTATTTGGCTGTGTTGTAGCTGGATGAGCCTGAAGAAGTTGTCGGGAGCTATTCGTGTGCTTTATTTCTCTCCAACTTTCCATTCCACGGTCGCCTCTATTTGACGAGAAACCGGATGTGCTTTTCAGGATGGATCGATACAATATTTGTATGTAATTTACCCCTGAACTTATGGTGTTAGTGTGGCAACGTCATGTGACGCACTTTTGTTGTTGGTTACTAGGTCGCGTCATTTTCCGACATTACATTGATGGAAAAGAAGAACACAGCACTGATCGTTCCCAACGCAATCGAGGTTAGAAAAGTCCATATGTCGATACCTTGTGTATTGCATCTATGGTCAAAGTGCTATTCACTTATCTTGTACTGTTGAGCTGTAGTTCACCGTAAAAGAAGAGAAAGTCTTCTTCGCGTCGTTTGTCTACCGGTAAGCTGATGCTGATAACGATCTCACTGAATGCGTTCGCATTGCTCATTTTTTGCGCTCTGCAGTGATGAATGTTTCCAAAGCATATTGGAAATACGATCCATTCCGAAAGAGACTGAAGTGCTCATACCAGACCCAGCACAGCTACAAGAAATGAAGTCACAACGTGTCGACGATGAGTCTGAGACTGGCAATGATGCAAGACGGCGAATGGGTTCCGATGAAGTGGCTGCTGTTGCTGCTGCCGCAGGTTCTAGACGTACCTCCATCGACACCGCTGACGCAGTGCGCACTGAAGAGCGCAGCGATCTGCCATCATTTTCATTCGATTCCTTGGCACCAAACGCTGTGTTTGTCCCGGGAATAGATGCTTTTCTTGACGAGTACGATGTGCTATTGGACGAGCAAGTTGCGTTCAGGTATGACTGTTCTTGAGCTTTGCTTTTGCCGTTGCCGAATGTATTGACCAACCCGTTGCTGTGCTTACAGTGTCGACACAGCCTTCTCGATATTATGGATCGAGTCCGACACCTTCTTTCGCAACCTTCTCGATGCTGCTGGTTCAACGAGCGTATCATTGTCGCCTTGGAAAAAAGAAGCTCTTTCGTACACAGCTGTCAGCAAGCCGGACACGTTTCAGGCCTCTCGGCTGGTGTCGTACACGCACAACAAAAAGTACATGGTCGGACCCAGCGTCATACCGACGTCTCAAACTCAGCGCTATGCGTACACACTCGGCACTCGCCTCATCGTGAGCACAACAACGAGTATTTCCGATGTACCATACTGCGACCATTTCCGCATTGAGCACCGATGGGTTTTTAGTGCCACGAAAAAGAAGGGCACGAGCTTGGCACAGGTGGGACTTCGTGTGCGTTGGTTGAAGAATACGTGGCTAAAGAAGCAGGTGGGTTCGTTGTATGTTTGCGAAGGGAACGTGTCAATGTGCAGCACTAATTTTGGTTTGTGATGCAATTCAAATAGATTGAAAGCACCACTGTCTCCGAATCGAAGGAGGCCTTGAAATTATGGTTCAGTGCCGCTCTTGATGCAACCAAAGCGCTGGATGCGACTGAAAGCCGAGCTGTTTCTCCGAATCTTGCGAGCACAAACTCATCGAGGCCCGTCGGAAGACCAAACGAGAGTTTGTCAAAGTCGCCATCTCAGCATAGCGCTGTCTGTACGGATTTATCTGCAGCTGCGCTGGTACATGCCGGGTCTACGTCGATTCGTGGTGCATTAACTCCACTCCATTCAACGCTCCAGATAGTCATTATTCTGTGTGCTGTCGTCTTCGCTTACTCGATGTATCGAATGTGTGCTGCGGTGGACCAGATGCAAGTATTGACACGAGAATCGCTGATACAGCAGCGCCAACAGCATGAGCTGCTGAAAAAGCTTTTGGAAAAGCTTGAAAGCAGATATCCATAAGAGCATAGCACGGAAAGTCTATCAAAATGAACAGTGCTATTATGTGCTTTTGCGCGTATTCTTCGTAGTATACTATTTGCTCATTAAACCTTTCGACGTTCAGTGCTTTCCACTAGCTTTTCAAGCTGGATTTTGTCGAGGTGAACTACCGAGGAATAACATCACGAGACTGAGTTGTCGCAATGCTTTCCTACTCGCATTTCCATCCGATCATTCGCTGGCAGACTACCGCATTTGACTCATTTGTGATGTCTTCCTCATTGCTATGACCGAAGAACTTTTCAGTCTTAGATTATGATAGAGCTGCCTGCAAATTGCCAATTTAATCGCATGCTGCTTACATGGTTTCGACCGTTGCATTGCCTGCTTCGGTAGCACAATCTTCGTAAATGTAGGGCAAGTGTTGGAATGACAAAGTTATTGTATCGCCACAATTACATACTACGAATGTCTCGCATTTACAGACGATATGCGATTCAGAAGCGTCGCTGTGCATAGAACGAAGTCTCGTAAACGCACGTACTAAACTTGTTCCTAAATTTGATGAAAAACGTGTCCAACAACAAGCAACTGCTGTTTGACAACATCGATTGACTTCCATTTCGTCAAGTATCTGTAAAAATAACTGCAAAGTGTCAGATACACACCAAGTACAAATACTACGTCGACGCATCTTTTTCTGGCAACATGGATAGGAGCTACAACCAGAATATCGATAGCTGCAAGACGAACGAGAAATGTCATGAGAATGGGGGGAATATCGCCAGATCAAGTGAGACCAATTAATTCTTTAGCGATGTATTTGTCCCCTCTTACATGTTACACACTGATACACGCCGCCCTCACATTCTTCCAAGCTTTAGTCGCACTACTGGAAAACTGACCTTGCATGAGTTGCTTACGATTCCTTTAGTGTTTGTCGTCGTTGACCTTTGCAACACTCCGGACAATGACAGCTGTTGCAGTCAGGTTTACCATGTTCACTTTAGTAGCTAGTACAAAACTCACTCACGCGTAGCGGAGACAGCGAAGTGGAGCCCGCTCCGATCAAAGATACCGGAGTCTAGACAGTGATTGTGGTGGTGCCTGCTTTTTTTACTCATAAAACGAGCTGTACCTCTTCGATACTGCTTCGATACCTCAACCTACGCTAACGGGGCAGACTCGTACTTGCATTCTGTTCCCAGATCAGACTTAGTCGCGTTGGCCTAAACCGGATAACCGCATCGTAATCAATTGCTCTGCTGCAGTTTTCTTGCTGACATCCGAAGAGGGGTTATTGTCAGCGCATTCTAGTAAAAAGAACGACTAAATATAAATTGCTAGCCAGCGTTATCATGTGCGTACAATCCAGGAGTTCGACATTATACGTGTTGCTGCGCTTGCCTCGGTTAGAAGCTTATAGCCGGCACATATCACAGCACAGTGTTCTCTCTGTCAAACAATAAACCGTCGCAGGGGACGACATCGAGTCATTTGACAAAAGATATTAATTTGTCAAATCGAACGATACGTTCGATTTGACAATGGGTCGACACGACGTAGCAGGTATGCATACATACCTGCTACGTCGTGTCGACCCATTGTCCCACCTCAGTCTTCATCACTATCGTCATTTTCTTCTTCATCAAAGTGGCCTTTGCGGCGATTTCGATTCACGTGCATTTGTGCAAATCTGTCATCCACTAGCGTGATTTTGCTTGAGTCCAGAGACACAGCCGGCTGGGACTCTTGTTCATCGGCATCTGCGTCTTCCCCATCTTTCTGCTCTTCCTCGACATTTACAGCATCTTCTTGAGCCCACGTCGATCCAGTAGGCAACGTGTTAAATTCCGCAGGCCTAGAAAATGAGACAGAAAATATGCCGCCACACTGTCAGAAAAAAAACACGAGCAAACCTCCCATTCTTCGTCCTGCAACGTCATACCAAAGATCTTTCTGCTTTAAATTCTTGATCTGTTCCTTGTACAGAATGTGCACCACGATGGACGTTACAGCGCCCTTCTTGCCCGTGGCAGTTGTAGCCTCACCTCCGTCACCCTCTCCAACGATCAGAAAATCCCCTGTCAACGGCAACAAAAAGCATCAGATTAAAGCAACACACTACACTAATTGTTCGTACATCCACTAAACAAGAAAGTCACAATCTATTAACAGATTCCAGGGAGCCTAATTGGCCCAGTCCATTTCACCAAAAAATCCAAATATTCCACAAAAAGACAAAAAAAAAACATCCAGCATTTTTTACCTCGTTTAATCCAAATGAGTTTGCGGAATTTTGTCGGCATCATCGTCACGGACTTGACTCCGTGAGCGTCCACCACCTGTTGCGCTTACTTCACCAGTCAGCTCGGACCGACCAAACTAGCCAAGCAATACAGTCGCCAGTCTCTAGCGCACCTCAAACAAGTTACTGCCTCGTAGCGCGGTGACGCAGACGATGACCTCATTCTCCTTGGGCTCTGGCTCGCCGTAGAGCACGCGCTTGGCCACGCCCTTGCGGTACGCACTCTTCCGTCCGCTCCCCGACATGCGATACAAACGTGTTTACAAACACCACGAGTGACCCCTGTTATCGCTACTTCAGAGCATGAAAAACCCACCAGCCAAAAAAACCAAAGTATATCCAGTCGCACTTAGCTCTCGTTTATATACGAAGGATCAAAACGCAGTAGCAAAAGACCAAATTTGGACCCGTCACTCAAGTGAGCACTCGCTCGATCCTATCTCCACACTCGCTCATTTTTTCATAAATTTACTCGTGCTCCATCACTCGTTTTGCAATTTTTGCCAAACAACGACGACGATGGCTGGACGCGGACGCGGACGGGCGAATACGCTGCCTGCATGGATGACCAAGCAAGGCCTGAGTGCGCCCCAACCCGTCGAAGCCCCGCCAGCTCCTCCACCATCACGGTCTCCACCACGTAATGGCCAGTTTGATGACGCCCCGGAGCGCGCGCCTCGTCCGCCAGAGCGCAAGCCCCGCGACGAGTTCGTAACCGGCAGCAAACGCTCTCGGGATCGCTTTTCGGACCGCAATAGCAGCGACTTGAGGGAACGCGCTTCGGTACACGCCACGCGGTCGCGCTCACGGTCCCGGGACCGAGGGAGTGGACGGGACCGATCGCGGGATCGGGACCGGCAGCACTCGAGCCGTCGCAGCGAATCCCGAGGCGATCGACGTCAGGACGAATCGTCTCGACGTGGATCATCGCTTCGTGGACGCTCGAGGTCTCGGGACCGTCGAGACCATCGCAGTGTCTCTCGTCGTGGAGGAGGTGAGCGCTATGAAGACAGGGGGTACGGAGGAGGGACGACGCGTGGACCGAGAGATGATGACTACCGCCGGAACGACGGACGGGTCTTGCGTCGGGATGACGAAGCGATGGAGCGTGGCTACCGTCGCCGTTCGTCCAATGGGCACGATGACCGCACGTCCCGTCGATACACGTCGGACTATCGGCCGTAGACGACGTGGTGAGAGGTCGTGGTGTGGTTTGCTCGCTCTGAGTTGTGCTGCAAGTGGAGACTCTAGCGTGCGATGATGATACGCACTTGGACGTCCGTTTTTGAGTGGGGTGGAAGGGAGAAACGGGGATTGTAGTAGCAGGCGCTTGTGTTTGGGCAGGCGACTTGAGTGATCGCACGAGGTTGGCCGAGACGTAGATAATTGCACATAAACTGACATCTCTCTCTCTGCTAGAGCAGGACTGGTTGGGCGTTGTGGCGTCCTCATGCGATCTGCATTCTCTCTCTTGCTCTTTCGCTGCTGCCTGAACGTGCCGAGCGGTCTGAATTCTTCGCTGTGATATCCACGTCTGCAGGAACCATACCGCCGACCCGCACGACTAGTTGAGAGTGTGACGAGACCGAGAGATGGTGCCCCGGAAGCAAAGTGCGACCTGCACTTCGGACTGCTCTGCTGTCACGTTCACTTGACAATTCTTGCGCAATGCGAACACTGCACATGCACATCATCACCAATTGCACAGGCTCAGCAACGAAGATACGTGTAGCATATTGCGCTCGGCTTTCCGTCAGGCAGCGAGCTGTGCTGAATCTGCCACACGGTGAGGGACGCGTGACCATCGTTAGCCAAGTGTTGCGTACTTGACGACAACGTTGTTGTACTAACCCTTGACGGCGTAGCTTAAGACACGAAAAGTAAAACTCCACATGCATTTATCAAGAAGAGCTCAAAGCATCAATATCGTTCGTTCCCTGCATGCGAGCGACGCATTTGGTCAGTGCCCCGCTTTCATCCTCGTACCTTTCTGCGACTGAAGACCCTCGACTACGCAAGCTCCCGGCGCGCATACTTTCCTTCATCCATAAACTCTACCGCCACTGTTCGGTTTGAAAATCCACGACCGTGCAGCTCGGTCGCTGCATTCTGGGCTGCCTGCACATCACCGAACTCAACAAAGACCTTACCCACGGCACTGGGGATCCCATCACGCGGGCGTGGCAGCAACAGCGACGGCACGGCACCGAATTGCTCGCACTCGCCCTTGATGTCATCTAAAATGTCAGTGTACTCTTCCTCATCTTCAAGCTCTTCCGGTGTCACCATGTTCAGCAGTACGATAACACGAGAGGGGATACCCAGCGGTACACTCGGTATACCTGCCAGAGTGATTGCCTGCATCGCAGCGCGCGATGGATCAAGGCCCATTTCCAAGCCCGTATTGACTGTCCCTGCAGCACTGGCGACAGCCTTCGCATTCTCTTGGGACATGGCTCGACGTACTGTAAGCGTCTTGTCACCAAGCCGCATATCGTTCAGCCCAATGCATGCTGCATCGGTCACATTGATGTCCATGTACTCACAGAACCCGTAGCCTTTCGACAGGTTGGAACTGAGCTCTTTGACAAGATGGAACGACCGCAGTGGGCCAAACGCTTGCAGCAACTCCTTCACCTGTTCCTCGTTCAGATGGTACGGCAGACCGCCGATGAAAATCTTACCCGGACCATCGCTAACTGTGGTCGACACAATACCAAGAGCAGCTAGATTTAGCTGTGGAATTGGCCCTAGGTCTTTGGGAACAGTAGCAGGGTTGTAATCGTTCGGCCGACGGATCTTCAGCGGTTGACCATTGTACGACACGCCGTCGAGGTTCATGCAGGCCGTCGTAAGCTCGATCGTGCGTAACTCCACAAAAGCGAAGTGGCGCTCGCGGTTAATGTAGACAGACACAACAGAGCCGCCTTCCTGCTTTTCGCCCAGTGCGCGGTCAACGACATCGTTGAAGAACACGGTAATCTCTGGCTCTGAGATTTCGCCAATACCACCAACGTACAGACGGCGCGCATGTCGTGTCAGCTGAGAATGGCCTGAGATCCCGTATGCAGCATTTGTTTGGTGCACATGGGCGTACACTGGTTGCACCGGCGGGACATTCTAAAAATCGATAACAACAGCAGCAAAACAAGTTAGTGGACGTGCGAGCATGTGTCGCGCTTGATTCCAGTGCTGCTCTAGAGCCTTGCACAGCTGCCACGGAAGCAACCAAGCAAGCGAGCACGACGACGGACAGACAACGGATAACGAAATACACAACGACATCGCGTCAGCCGTCGTATCTCTCCGTGCTGCGTGGATAGCCGCCGTACGTGTGCGCCACAAACACACCCGAGGCAACAAACACAATCAAAAGAGACAAGAATAGAGCAGAACGACGATGTACGCACTCGAATGGGCATCATGACAGTCTGCGGCGGGACGCCAAACGACGCCGAATCGACCGAGCCAGACAGCGCTGCCATGTTTTGCTGCAAAATGGCCTGCGCTGCGAACGCTGCGGCATTCTCTTCCGTCACTCCTGGCGGTCGTACGTCAAAATTGGATTTCTTGCGGCGACGCACGACGTGCGACGACGACCGCGAGCGACTACGTCTCGACGAGCGTCGCTCGGATCGCTCACGACTGCGACTTCGACTGCGACGGTCGCGGGACGACCGATGACGGGACGACCGCCGTTCCTTGCTACGGCTGCGGTCTCGACGGCGCGACGAGCGCGAGCGACTGTGGCGACTGCTACGGCGCGAACTGTGGCGTCGGTCGTCGTCCACGTGCTTGAGACTAGAGCCGTCCGCGAGTCCCTTCTGCACGGTTTTATATGTACAGCACACCACATAGGAAGACCACAGTCATTGTCAATATCAAAAAGACAGGTTATTAGCATAAAAGGGACAACAAGCGACACTATCATAATAACTACCGGCGCGTCAGTAAACTGCGACGGCGCTGAGGGAGGTATCATCTGCTCGTATTGTTGATGGTAGGGAAGCGGAGGGTACGCGCCGCCATGAGGAGGAGGAGGAGGAGCGAAGGAGGAGCCGAGAGCAGCTGTGTTAATTTGCTGCTGCTGCTGCTGTTTCATCCACGCAGGCATCGTGAGCTCTCGTCCTCTGCCGGCCATGATCGTGTGACAAGAAGTGCGTCGGGCGCTGGGCTAACGTCCACCACTGGCGCTCCCTCTAAAGTGCGAGTGGTCGAAACCTCTGGTTGATCATGAAGCTGGTGAAACACGTCCAATAGACCCGGGCGAACTTGATGTGAATATTTGGATTTGGGGCGATAGAAAACAGCTGAAAAGTAATTGAAAAATTGAGCAACTACGATATTTTGACATAATTGATTGTAAAGAGGGAGCCAAATGTACTCGGTACGGGCCGGCAAATGTAGAGCTGCGTCTCCATGTAAAACGAAATTCCAAAAAACAACCTGCAATATAATTACTGTGTTGTCTCAAATGGTGACCACTGACAGGAACGGTAGTTTAGTGATGAATGGTATCAGCCTATATGTATAGCTTCTATAATAACCAGACAACTACTTCTCAGTGCTTAAAATGGAAAGTAGTATTAAGAGTTAAGACTACTGCTAAAATGCATATATAAATCCCTTCATAAAGTGATCGCTCATCCAGAATGTTCGAAGAGCCCTGTCCCTGCAAGTTGCCATAAACACGACACACAATTCATGTCGTGGTACGTAAACCTCAACACTCCCCTTTAACTTGCACTCTCATGAATTCCACTTGCATCACGCAGACGTAGCAGTTGTGGTGCACTTAGTGGCTTCGTTAGGTAATCAGAAAGCTGCATAATAGACGGAACATGTTTGAGCTGAATTGTGCGTTGCTCAACGTGGTCTCGGACGAAATGCACCCTCAGGTCAATGTGCTTGGCTCTTGGCGTATATCCTTGATTTGTCGCAATGCTTATCGCCGACTTATTGTCCATATGCACAGTGGTTGCACTCGTGCACGCGACACCCATTTCCATCAGCAAATAGCGAAACCACACAATCTATTATGTAGCTAGTGCCAATGACATATACTCAGCTTCAGCCGAAGACAAAGCCACCGAGCTTTGTCTTTTGCTCTTGTATACTACAACCACGTTTCCGAGCAAAATTAAAACACCAGAGGTCGAGCGACGAGTACTTTTGTCACATCCCCAGTTTGCATCACAGTAGGCGCAAAGCATGAGTTTATTGCTGTCCGATCTCTTGTATACAATCCCGTGTGATTGTGTTCCCATCAGGTAATGCAAAACGCGCAACGCTGCACGCCAGTGCATCTGTTTTGGCTTCTCCAAATACTGTGATAACACCGACATCGTGTAGCTGATATCGGGTCGCGTAGCATTCGCGATGTACATCAGGGAACCCACCAGTTTTCGATACAAAGTGCTGTTTTTAAAATCACACTGCGAGTCAGTAGGGGTCAAATCTTGACCAGCGATAATTGGACTGCGAACTTCGTAAGTACCATCTTGTTCGAAATCCGTGATCATCTTCTTGATAAATTGAGTCTGTTTTAAAACCAGCTCTTTCTTTTCTAAAGAATAGTTCACCTCCATACCCAAAATAAATCGCGCAGCTCCAAGCGACTTCACCGAGAAATGAGCTGTCAATTCTTTGTAAATTCCATCAGCCTCTGCATTCGACTTGCATCCGATGAGAATGTCATCCACATACAGCACTATGTACGAAAGTGACTTGACTTTAGTACTGGGACGTCGAATAAAAAAACAAGTGTCCGCACGACATTTGTAACGGGGTGAATCGTTACATAACAATTTATAAGAAATTGTTAATAGAATATAACTATAAGAGTTATATTCTCAGAATATTTTCATAAGGACAAATATTCTGTAGCACTTACAAGTAGTTCCTAATTGGTTGATATAGGCCATTATATCAACCAACGAAGACGCGCCACGACAGACGCACGCAATGAGTGGTGAGCAGATAACTGATTTACACATTTGTATTTAGACATAGTTAGATGAAGATAAATAGTGATTTATTGCAGACATTAACTATTATAAATACAGTTCTACTTTTACTCTAACCAAGTACTCGCTTCTTCTTACCGTCTTCCTCTGCACGTACGAGTGTACGTGAAGTTACGAGGCACCGCCTTATTCTGTTATCGGAATAAGTAGCTTGTACTGTCACCAGTACAAGCTTCAGGGTGCCCCGTTACACCTGGTAGCACTTCGTAGTCCGTCCAAGGACCGCGTTCACATCCAACATGAATATGTTGGATGATGAAGATGACCAAAGCTTTCACGCTACGCGTGACGGCTACTCCCATTTGAGCGATGTCGAATGGGATGCGGTTGAACGAATGGGTTCGACCATGGGCATCCATGCTGTTAGCGTCATGCTAGAGGCTCTCAATAGAGATGCCCAACATGCTACTATCGCCAAGTTCATTCAAAATGAACTTGACGCAGAACGCGAGAAAGTAGCCTTGCTTCACCAACAAGGTTCTCAACAAGCAGAGTTGTTGAGAGAACAAGGTGCTCAACAGTTTGAACTATTGAGACAGCAGCAGGCTGCTGCTGGCGGGTCGATGCACTCGCGTCGACCCGAGACTTTGAAGATTGACATCTCAAAGTATAGGGGGTCGAAGAAGACTCCCTCTTGAGATGGTTCGTCGAATTGGATGACGCCATAAGGGCGCGTCGCATCGACGACGGGGATATGCAAGTTGCATTTGCCCAGTCAAATCTGGCAGGACGTGCCAAGACTTGGGCACTGGGGCTCAAGCTGCACGACCCGTATGCGTTTGGGTCGTTGGAAGTCTTCAAGTCGCGGCTCAGACAAACGTTTGAACCGCCTAGAGCTGAGTTCAGGGCTCGAACCGAACTCTTGAAGCTCAAGCAGGGTAAGCGTGATGTGCACGCTTACGCTCAACATATACGACATCTCACGAGTTGTATAAGTTCCAATCCAGTGGATGAACACACGTTGGTTTCGGTGTTCATGCAGGGTCTTGCGGATGGTCCCGTCAAGACTCACCTGTTCCGGCTTGAACTAGATTCACTAGAACAAGCCATTTCCATTGCGGAGCAGGAAGACTTCAGTCTGAGACAGGCTCGCGCCAGCTCGACATCATATCGTCAACCGAGACGATATGACAACGGAGGTCCAGAGCCGATGGAACTCTGTTATGTAGAGAGCGAGAAGGTTCGCTCTACAGGCTACAAGAAGTTGCAGAGATGCAACAGATGTCAGAAGACAGGACACTACGCTTACGAGTGTAGTGCCCCTCGTCCAGTGTCTCGCGACACTGGGCGTAGTGACCGTCCACCCATGAGAAAGGGGCAGGGACGAGGGTCCGCAGTTGGTGCAAAGACGCAACGCCGAGATGTACCGTCAAAAAACGGACAGGATCAGTAGGTGCGGAGCACCCTACTGATCCAGCAACGTCAAGAGAATTTGTAGGCCTCTTGATGAAGGTTGCTCCCAACACACAGACGTTGTGTGTTGCTGCTCTAGGTAATGAGATCTCACTCATTACCTTGAAACTCGAAGTGACGAATAAGTTGTCCCTTCGAGCTCTAGTCGATTGTGGGCGTCCAACAATTTTGTGCGACGCCAATCGCTAGAAGATGGTCACTTTAAATTCAGTGAATGTGACACACCTCCTACGAGGATGACGGTACGTCTTGCGACAGGCGCATCCGTAACCGTCATGAAGCGTATAGTGAAGATTCGCTATACGCTAGAAGAAACCCAATATGACGATGACTTTATCGTATTGGATTTGGATGACAAATTTGATGTCATCCTTGGAATACCGTGGCTCAGAAGGTACGAACCACGGGTAAACTGGCAACATCGGACAGTAACGATGCCTGCCGCTTGTTCATCAGATGGCCATCTGATGAACGTTTTGGAGCGTCCACAAGCGTGTGGATGTACTACGAGTGAGTGCGATGGCCTCACTTGTGGTACGGTCGTTAGTACGACTGCACAAAACCTTAGTGTACCAAACGGTTACACTTCGGAGCAAAGTTCCGGCGGCTGTGAGGAAACACAGGCTGCGCCGAAGGTCCACCACTCGAATAAGTCGGGTGGACTGGGACAAAGATGTATCCCTAGAGGGGAACATCTAGAAGAGAAACAATCGATCGCTCAGGTTAAGCGAAACGATAATCCTAGATCGACTGGAGAGTCTTTCGTAGAGGATCTCGCTGTGGTTGCGCAACCCCAGCTAGAGTAAGTAAAGGGAATAAGTCCCAAGATTACAAATACGGCGGAAATAAGTTCCCCGAAACCCGCGGGAATAAGTCCCCGGGAAGACGAAGGAATAAGTCCTTCGAAGCCTGAGGGAATAAGTCCCCAGGAAATGACAGAGACATTGAATGTCATAGTCAATAACGGATCATGTGTAGGCGCTTATACACTTGATCTGATTGCGCCTCCGAAGTTAACTTCGGAGATCACTCAGTTGCCAACGCTCGAACATAAAAGGTTCTTGCGTGATCTGCGTAGTGGCAAAGTCAAGCAGATCTGCATACTCGTCGCTGACGACGAGTGTGTAACCGACATAAGGTCAGCAACAGTGTTTACTGAGAACGAGAGAGTTCTCAGTAGTTCATCTATGGACGAGAGTGTCCTAGATGAAAAGACACGAATTGAGCGATATGAGTCCCAATCATGGGAATCGCTCAAGGAAAATCCTCTCTATGAAGATTTGGTTGAATTCAAGGATGTATTCCCTGAAACTGTTCCGTGCGAATTACCGAAGGATAAAGGTATTCGACACGAAGTCGAGCTTAAACCAGGCTCGAAGTACTGTGTCATGAAGCAGTGGCCACTGCCTCGTGAACAAGTACTTGCGATCGACAAGTTCTTTGCCGATCGTTTAGCAGCGGGCCATGTGAGGGAATCAACTTCCCCACATAGCTCTCCGACCTTCTGTGTGCGAAAAGCAACAGGAGGGTGGCGGATAGTGCACGCGTTTAACAAATTGAACGCTGCAACGGTACCGGCTCAGACGCCGATACCGAGGAAAGACGTAATCATTGATGGTATGTCAAAGAGTACCATCTTTTCGTCCATGGATTTGATGGATGGCTTCTATCAAATCCTAATGCGGGAACGGGATATACCCTA